CTCATGTATAGATATTCCAAATTTTTATTTTTTTCCTCATTGAAGTAGTTTTGAAAAAAATTGCGAGCTAATACATTTGCTAGTTACGACTTTTTTGTAAATAAATTTTTGAAAAATCTCCCCTGAAAAAAAAGGCGTTATCTCGGGGTTTCTACAACTCGGGGTTTCAATTGAAAACCCGAGTTGAAAACCTGAGTTTGTAGCAGCGATGTCAGACAAGATATGAATTTTTTTTTGGGCTCAAACGAAAGAGCGGGTCGAGAAATGGCGTGCTAGGACCTCTAAAGATGGTGTTGAACCAGGGGAGACTCCTAGAACCCACTGGAAAATGTTGTCACAATTGCGCTTTTCAATTGAAAACAGACATCATCTTTAGAGAGATTTGTCATCTTTAAAGACTTCTNTTTATTCGAAGCAATTTATCTGTTTTTTAAATATCGCTTTCGATATTCGATGCGTTTATGAATAAAAATTCGGGCAATTCGAGAGCTACCGTGGCATGAGGATTTAATTGCACGAATTTTCAATTGAAATTTACAGTGAGAGGAATCAGAGATTTTGGGATTCTATTCATTCTTTGACTATGAACGGCGGAGCTATTGCATTGGATTTCATTTCAAATATGGAATGTTGAAATTCTGTTGAGTTGAGTTATTGAAATTCTGGGTTATTGAAAAAGAGGCGAATATTTCGAGCACATTGAGAAGAAAATAAAATTTTAACAGACAAATAATTTCGATAATTCTTTGCTCGTCTCCATGAAAATATCTCATACAAAATGGAGCTAAATAAAAAATATTTCACTCGTTACCTCCACGATTAGTTCACTTAAAAATTAATTTTTCGTATTTGTAAATATAAATTTTGTTCCACTAAAATCACAAATGTGCTTTCGATGCAGAGGACATTTCGAAGTAATTAATCTGCTTTTTAAATATCGCTTTCGATACTCGATGCGTTTATGAATAAATATCCGGGTAATTCGACGCCTAGCGAGGGATTTAATTACACGAATTTTCAATTGAAATCTCCAGTAAGAGATATCAGGGACTCTGGGATTTTATTCATTCTTTGAATACGAACGAGAGAGCTATTGTATTGGATTTCATTTCAAATATTGAATGTTGAAATTCTATTGAGCTGAGTTATTGAAAAAGAGGGGAGTGTTTCGAGCAATTAAGAAGAAAATAAAGTATCCACAGATAGACACTGAAAAAAAAAATTAATTTCCTGTTTTTTAGGATTGAATTCACACAACTTTATCGACTAAAAAACTGTAACTCCTTGCTTTCCTTCTCCTCAACTTTCTGGAACAACCAACTGTAATTTTACGACATATATTTTCCATCTCAAATGTTCTTTTAATGGAGCCAACGCTCCCAAGTAATTTACATCCTCTCTATTGTTCTAGTATTCCATATACAGCAATTCAAAGTGCTACTTCACAAAGACGAATGTTTCACTTAATTTACCTGTCCCTGGACGGTGAGGAAACCTCACTGGACTTCAAATTGGACTCTAGTCAATCAGCGAGTGGATTGTATCGGGCAATAACTGAGAAGCACGCTTTTTACAGCTGCGAAACAGTGAGGAGTGCCGTTACAGCACAGTTTATACGCGATCTCAAGGTATTTTTCCCACTTATTTTCAATGTTGAAGAAGTTGAGGGCACATGTAGCTATTTTGTGTAGCTGTCGAGCTAAATTTCTTTCGTTCGCCTCTGCAGGGTACTATTATCTCTATTTTTAATGAAGACTCCACACTGGGAAAAAAATACGTATTCGATATCAGGAGGACTTGTCGAGAGGTTTATGATAATGCCAGGAGAGCATTGTACTGTGAGACTACCAATATCGGGCTTCCAGAGGCCAGTCAGACGATGGATAAACATGACTGCGGGGATTGCGAGAATCCCAAGTGCAAAGTAAGCTTTTTTAAATTGATTTTCAAAGGTTTTTTTTTTTCAATAGAGATTATCTCGATAACGAGGCAATTCAGGAGACGCCAGGGAATTTTCTGAGGGGAATTTCATTAGCTTTGGAAAATGTTTGACGATATTTCGTCGTAAATTCAGACAGTTTCGGGATAATTCTATTATTCTGCAGAGAAGTAGTAAAATGTCACAGGACGGTGAATTCTGTTGTTAAGTCCAAAGTTTTCTCGACAACTATTCTAATTTTATGAGCAACAATAAAAACGACTTTTGACATTCTCTCGCAAATTCACTCAAGCCCAAGATAATCGCATTTTACGGGCTGATTTAACACGTCTTATTAAGTTTAAAATTATCTCGGCAATGATCCGTTCTAGTAGAAATTATTATTCGATCTTTTTTGTAAAGAATTTTATCAGCTACAAAAAAGTTCTTATGGCATTTCCTCGTAAACCCACTCAATTCCAGGACGTTTCCATTTTTCCAGAACGAAGTCGTAAAGTGTAAGAATGCGAGCCGATTTTCCACATCTCGTTAAAGAGAAAATTATTCGGACAACTATCCATTCTAGAGAAAATATTTACCGACACTTTTTGTAGAGAATTTCATCAGCTACAAAAAAGTCTTATTGATATTTTCCCGTAACCCGCTTCAATTTCAAGATAACCACATTTTTCCCCACTAAAATCTTGGAATACGGCAGAATGAGTCAATCTTACAAATAAAATACCACACAGTTCTCATCCTAAAATACAACTTTCAAGAGTCTCGTGAGGATCAGCCCTCCGCTTTGACATTTTCTCGTAAACTCACTCAATCCCAAGATAATCGCCTTTTTCCAGAATAAAGTCGTAAAATGTACCAGAGCAAGTAAATTCTCCCCATCTCGTTCAATTCGAAATTATCTTCACAACGATCCATTCTAGAAAAAATATCGTCGGACACATTTTGTCGAGAATTTTATCAGCTACAAAAAACCTCTTCTGACATTTCCTCTTACACCCACTCAATTTCAAGATACTCCCAATTTTCCAGAGTAAAATCGTAAAATGTAACAGAGCAAATCAATAACCCACACCTTAAATTCAAAATTATCTCGACAACGATCCATTCTAGAAAAAATATCGTCAGACACTTTTTGCAGAGAATTTTCTCGCCTACAAAAAATCTCTTCTGAATTTTTCTCGCAAACCCCTTCAATTCAATGTAATCACACCCTAAAGAAAAAAAGCCTCAGAGAACAGTGAGAAAACAATGATTTTACACCAAAAATATTAATTTCAGGAGTCGCGTGAGTGTCTAGCTCGCCTGCTAGATGCCATGCTATGCCGTATATGCATGGACCGTAGCTTGGACACAGCGCTATTTCCCTGTGGTCATGCTGTGGCGTGTTTGGACTGTGCGCGTAGATGTGAGCGTTGTCCACTGTGTCGTGCAGATATTGATCACTGTAGAACAATATATCTGCCCATTGAGCTTGCACACGTGGACAAACACAATTTCAAACATACAACAGACAACAGGAGTGAAACAACCCAAGCCCAACGACAATCTAATCCCCTGGATAACGATAATTTCATTGAACCCCAGAGCGTTGTTAATACGGCAATTTGAGAGCGGTTTGTCAAGCGAAGATTCGAGACGATTGAAAAATTACTGAGAATCTTCACTTGTAAAATTGATAGGCATCAACAAATCGATTGAATTATCATCATAATTCCCTCAGTTGTCTCGATGAATATGTTCATTGAAATGCTTGTGCGACTCGTTTTATGCTGTGATGAAAAAAATTAATTATTAATTAAGGATTAACGATATTGATGATAAAGTGCTTTAGCAGTATAAAAAAAAAAGAGAGAAAAAGAAAAACTTTCGAGGAACATTGTTGCAAATTATTTCATCAATCCCCCGATTTATTTATATTTATCTAAAAAAAATTCTGATTACAAAGGACCAATTATTTTTTTATTATCGTTGAATTTCAGATCATTTTTTTTATCATCGAAGACAAATTATTTTAAGTTTAAGACATCATTGAGGAGAATTGCCATGAAATGTATGTTCATAATGTATATAAAAACGATTTAAAAATCCAGAGGAGTCACTTTCACGATAATACAAGACTTTTACTTTGAAAATTTTTTGTTAATGATAATTGTGAAGATGTCTCTGGGGCATTTTGCAGTTTAGTGTGAATGGAGAAGTTGTTCTGAGTGGATGAGTGCGCCCTGGAGCCAGATAATGTTCATAATATCTCGAATCATGTTCAATTAAGATGTTGTTTTTTTACATTAAACGCCTGATTCACATTTTCAATTGAAGTTGAGGGGAAAATCAATCACCTAATGCATAATTAGTCAACTTCATGACTCAAAGTGATGAGATAATCATTAAAATGTGTGGGCAATCGTTGTAGTCATTCATCAATGCAATCTATGATTATTGATTATTTTTAAGAAGAAAAATTATTATTAAACCCGTAGTTATCGAAAAAAAATCTTTGATAGTACCACGCAATTGCCTTTGCAGCAAAACTGGTTAATTATTCGTTCACTCATTCATATTTTTTACTCAATCTATTAAATGAAAATTAAAGTATCGAAGAGTATTAATTATTATCGAATGAATTAAGACACTGAAACAAGGGGGAAATTTTTAACTCCTGTCAATCCCCATGTTCTCCACAGTGAGATGATTATTTTTTAATTGAGGAAGTGAAGTAATAGGAGGATCGAGGTTGTGACGGTGATTTTATGGAGTGATTATGGTAAATTATGAGTTCAATCATCGAGAAAACAAGTCTTTGTATCATTACTATGTGTCTGTCGATTAAATAATTATGATATTGATGTTTATAATGTTCGATGAAACATCATAAATTTTCAGCGATTTAATCTGTGATTGATTGCAATAAAGAGATGTATGAAACAACTGGAAATTGATTTTATTTCTTCTTTTTTTTGTTTTTAAAAATATCCCAGTGTCTTTTACAGTTTGGTACGGACCACACTACAGATTCATTTTTAATTTGAAAAAAAAAATTATGGACATTCAGCGTCGTATAAATAAATAATTGAAATTGTTTAAACTTGAAATTAAAAATTGTTTGAGTGATTTTTATGGTGGAAAATGGATTGTTTGTAAATAGTTTGGCATGAAATAGCAAAACAAATTAATTCAAATACTTCATTAATAAAAGCCACTTGAATTCCCAAAATCCTAAATAAAAAATTTCCTTCAAACAAAATCGTGACGAAGAAAAATAAATCCATCTCCATAAATCCATATCTCCTGACCGAACCATCCGATGTCGATAAATCAAAATTCATTTTAACCCCTAAGAAAAAACCTTCAAAATGGAAACAAAATCATTCAACTTCACTCTGCAAATCTCGAGTAATTGCCACTCAAATATGCTTAATCAATTCCCAATCAATTAACATCACTATTAAATTTATTAACTACCTAACTAATCATCAATTTAACTATTCAAACTATGAACTATTTACTCAATGATAAATTTACAGTGTCATATTATCAAATATTTACTGCACCATCAATCGAAAGTTAAAAATTATGAATAAAAATTAAATGAAAATAAAATGATATTAAGTTAATAAAATTATAATTAAATTATACTTCTAACTAAAAATGATTAACGTTAGTACATTTCAGGAGCGAAGCGGTAAACCGGGTTAAGTCGATTTTAACTGTTGGCCAGTTTTTGACGAATATCTCGGAATCTAAAAGAGATACAAAAATTGTTGTTATAACCTTTTTTGTAGAGCCAACTGAGGGTTACAAAAAAGGTCATGAGCAAAATTTGTTATCTCTCTTAGATTCCGAGATATTCATCAAAAAATGGCCAAAAGGAAAAATCGACTTAACCCGGTTTACTGCTTCGCTACTGATTTAAACCTTTATCAACGTAAATCGTAAATCCTCACACCATTGAAGAAATCGAGTCTAAATAAAAAATAAAATTTAAACAAACTCAAAATCCCAATCAATGCCGCGCCCTGCTCCATCGATAACTCAAGTCTCCCGACCCTCCGCCACCCCCCAGAGATGTCGCCAGCACCTCGACCACCCCCACACACCACGAATCCCCCGAAAGTCGCGAAGATGTCGTCGATATCAGTTGGCAGTCGATAGTCGACGTGCATGGACAAGGCCCGCGACTCACGCATTCACGTCCTCGCCGCCAGTCTAACAAACTCACACACCTAAAAGTGCAACTGAAGAGGGTGCCCCACTGGACGCATCATACGCACCAACTCCCGAGGCCGGCTGTCACATGCAAGTCAATCAGACGCCAAATCCCCCCCCCCCCCCTGAGTTACAATCGACTTGTCATTTCCCAGTGGAATAATCATCGATAAATTATTCACAAAAAGTTTGTGGTAACCAAGTGCTGAGTAACCTGCAACTCATTCCCATCCATCAATATCTTATACCCAGTGCAAAGCATTTCATTGAAAATCCCCGTAAATTGTCGCGAGTGAATAAACAATGGGAAATTTTTTCCTAAAAATGACCTGAAATTCATCCCCTCGCAAGTGTTCCCGGACAAATTCGAAAATGAAGAGGGATACGGCCGGTGAATTTTGACGCCGAAGGCACGCCAGAGGCGACAAAACGCCCCGAAAAATCCGAGTTCACCATCCAAATGACCTCAACGGTCGTTTCCCCCCCGAAATTCCATCACAATCAGCACTGACCCATCGAAACATCCCAGGAACATTTCAAAAAACACATCAGGGATGACGACGAGGCCCCAGAGTCCAACAGTGAGATTGAAGAACTACCCTGCAATTACAAAGCCCTACAGAATAACTAACAAAAGAAAAAAGACCAACAAAACAATGAGCAACAACTGATAAACTCCGGCAAACTGACGTCTCGAGAGGCGAAGTGAAAACGAGAAAAAAAAAAATTACAAGTCTCTAGAAAGGAAGATGAGCGCTGCGGTATACACCCTGTACGGGTTCGCAGTGTTCTTCATGATCTTCTGGGTGTGCCTATGGATAGTACACATACTGGCACTGATATGCGGCCGTTGGAAGTTGCATCGTAAACCAGTACAGGTGGCAAACAGCTACGAGGTACCATTGCCTGGTGTATCAATACTCAAGCCCCTGATGGGCATTGATCCAAATTTATTCAACAATTTGGAGACATTCTTCACACTTGACTATCCAACATACGAGATTCTCTTCTGCGTCGAGGACGAGTCGGATCCTGTACTGATGCTTGTCCGTAAATTAATGGAGAACTACTCGAACATTGAGACACGATTGTTCATAGGTGGTTGCCGTGTCGGTGTAAATCCAAAGATAAATAATATGCATCCAGCTTACGAGGCTGCCAAATACGAGTTAATACTCATTAGCGATAGTGGAATTAGAATGAAGGAGGACACACTCCTTGACATGGTTGGATACATGGCTGACAATGTTGGTCTTGTGCATCAGTTGCCATTCACAAGTGACAGAAGTGGCTTTGCCGCGGCCTATGAGAAAATTTATTTTGGTACTGTACAATCCCGAATGTATCTTGCTGCTGATGTACTCAGAATAAATTGTCACACTGGTATGTCAGCCCTTATACGTAAAGCACCACTCGATGAAGTCGGTGGATTAAAAACATTTGGTGTTTATCTTGCTGAGGATTTTTTTTACGCTAAATCATTGACTGATCGGGGCTGGCGTATGGCTGTATCATCACAGCCGGCATTGCAAAACAGTGGACACTGTGAAATGCACACATTTCAAGCGAGATTGAGACGATGGGCTAAACTCAGAGTTGCTATGCTTCCAACAACTATTTTACTGGAGCCATTGAGTGAGTGTCTTATACTTGGTGCTTGTGCATCATGGTCTGCTGCATTACTATTCGAATGGGATTCACTTGTTTTTTATCTTGTTCATATACTAATGTGGTTTATGCTTGATTGGACGATGCTGTGTATTGTACAGAATAGTCCATTACCACTGAATAAGTTGGAATTTATGTGCGGATGGATTCTCAGTGAAATAACGAGACCTTATTTGTTTATACAGGCTGTGCTTGATCCTCTTATACAGTGGCGGTCTAGGGTTTACAAGCTTAAGTGGGGGGGACTTGCTGAGGAAGTTAAGGCTAAGGTTAAATATTAATTTGGTAATGGGGGTGAGGGGATGGGGGGATTTTTTGTATTGATGTGGTGATTCACTTTGTTGGATTGGATTTCGTCGAAGGATACTGCTCGATTTTTTTCACTATAAAATTCGTTGATTGACCGGAAATGCGATAAGAAATTGTGGACAGCGATGAATTAATTTTTTTTGGGCAAGAACAATCGATTTTTTTTACTGAAATGTCCTTTGGAAATAATTACCGCACAGAAGGCTATTGATAAATTCTGCGGATTTTCTGCTGCTCTTGATATACAGAAATTTGGAATTGAAAATATTTTATGGTGAATTAGTCTGTTGATATATTTTCTGTAAAAATTCTTCGGCAGAAATTTTTCCCGTTTTCGTTTGAGAGTTGAAGTAAAAAATTGAAAATGCGAGCTCTGGAAAAAATTTGAATTTTGAACAGAAATTGTTTCTAATTAATTTTTTCACGCGTTAAATTGAAGGATAACATTTTATCAACCGCTATAAAATGCTTATTTCCTCACAAAGCGGTCACCACATTCACTGAATTTTTTGACAATTTTATTAGTTTTTTAACAACTCAATCGATAAATTCCGCAGCCCTTCTCCCCTTTCGATTTACAGAAATTTTCAGTTGAAAATATTCTACAGAAAACATGAACGAATTAAAAAATTTCTAGACAAATCATTAGTGCACAAATTTTCTAAATTCGTCTCCCTTTATTTTTCTTTTTTTTTTCATTAAAAAATTGAAACCAAAACAAAGAATATCAATGGATTTCATCTACCGAATATTTCCTATTTGACATTTCCACTACATAAAATACGGCGCGGAAAACCACAGAATATTTAATAGAAATTACTTCTCCCAATTTTTTTCCTGCGTTCCCCTCTAAAATTCACGAATAAAACGAATTTCAAGCGCTATAAAATGCACATTTCCTCGTAAAACAATGCTCCCCAGTGACTAAAACCAGCAGAACAAAATATCCACCCCATCCCCTCGATATTTCTACTCATACCTCAAGAGAAAAAAAAACAAATCAGACAGTGTACATCTCCATTCCACAATTTGCCTAGATGTTAAATATGCCTATAGGTGTGTTCCGTTTTTATAGCGCGAATATCTAGCGTAAGACTCGATGATAATGGCTGATTCCGTTGACTGAATAATTGTACATATTTAAAAAAAAATTCTTCATCGTTGTATCGATTCATCCTATACTGATATTTTTAGTGGGAAGATGTGCCTACAGGTGTATATTCGCTCAAGAGCATATTTAATAGACATTTCATATCAAACTCGACGAAAGAATAAAAAAAAAACAATTTTCTATAAAACGAATTTCGAATATTTGAATATTAAAAATTTCATATATTAACATTTGAATCGTCATTGATGGAACGTTAGTACAATTTCTACGGAATGCTCGACAAATGATCTTTCTTCTTTTACATTATTTAACGTTATTCTTATCTGGCAGAGAGACAAATTTATGATTAGGCTGAATGAACCAGTATTTATTGGTTTTTCTTTTGTATTTCTCTCCCTCCGTGCAATATCTTTCCATCATCAACACCTGCTCTTCCCTCAACCGAATTATACGATACAATCGTTGGGGATAAGGGAATTGAACATTTTTCTCAGTGCCATGCGCACGTGTGTTGCTATGACGTGACACTGAGGAAATTGTCCATGTCCTTGTCCCCCGTACATCGATGAGAGTGAAAATAGTCTAGTGCTGTATGAGAGCATCACAAGTAGCCCATCGAATATGCCAAGAGGAGACAGGGTCATCGATGAGGAAAGATCATTGCTATTGATGGGTTATTCATCGTTGTACATGTATTATGTATGTAATTTTGTCATCATGAGGTGAATATCACTGTTGGATAGGTCGGAATAATTCTCCCCGGTTGTAAATTACTGCGGTATTTCTATTTTATTTCAATTGCGGTTTACCGAGATAGAGGCATATGCGTGGGAAATTGTCGGTTTTAACGTTACGATCAGGATGAGGCTGAAGGCAGGGAAGTATTTGCCAGCGGAACATTCGATTTTGGGGGGTACAAACATTTTTAAGTCGTGAGCAAAATTATTCGCGGAGGAAGAAAATCTGCAATTTCACGTGGAGTTTATATTTTTTGTAAAATCGCCGGATTTTCGCGATTTTTTTTTTGGGAATGCGCGGAATTTTGTGCAAGTGAAATAAATCTTCCTTGTATCGACCCAAAATTCATTAAATTTTTAGAATTCTTTAGAGAGTTTGAGAAGCTTCCAGGAAGTTCTAGAATTTTCCAGAAGTTTCTACGGTGATTGCGGTCTTATGGAAGACCCTCGTCTTTATTAGAATTTTCAAGTGGATTCAAGATTTCTTTGGAAAAACCCCGCAAATTTTTTTTTCCAGAAAACCGGAGAATTTTGAATAATTTTCTAAAAAAGCAGAGAATTTTCTCGAATTTTCTATAAAACTGGAGAATTCCCTCATTTTTTAAAAGAAAAAGCACTGAATTTTCCACAAAAATTCAGCTGCTGCATAATTTTTTTTCTAAACTGACCTCGCGTGATGGTAGAGCTCTCAAAAACCTTAACTGAATTTTCCGCTGACAAATACTCCGTCAGTTTCAGCTTCATATAATTAATCTATAATGGAAATTATTCCGCACTACCTCCGTACTATTTTTACCTTTCCACTCAGTATTTTCCCGAAAAAATGAACAAAATTAATGTTAAAATGCGTCGATTAGTCTGAAAATACTGTAACAATCACAAAAACTCATCAGGAAAGCTGGAATAATCAAGTGGGAACTGTTTATTTATACTTTTTTATGAAATTAAATGAAAATAAATCTCAATACCCGAAAAAGCTTTCACATTTTATTAATTTATTGTTGTCGTGTTGGTCGGTAAAAAAAGTTTTTTTTTTCTATTTATTATTTTTAATGAACAAAAATCTCAACCAGGTTATGGTGAACAAGTGGTCCATGCACTAAACGTATACGCGGATACTTATATTAGTATTAGTTAGAATTAAAAATCGAGCAGCAGAGAACAAAATATTGATGATGAGTCTGTTAAAATAATCACAACTCTACCATTGATATATTTTCATTTTCATAATTTTATCGAAATCATTGCAGTTTCATGTAAATAAATAAATGTAGATGTTATTTTTTGCCCATGAGTGATCAATATGTACAAAAATTATTGAAAAGATGAGAAGAGATTGGAGAAATGGAGAAAAAACAATGGAAAATAAATGAATCTCAAACTGAAAGAGTCTTCTGTCGAAATTATTAAACCTATCATTAGATTTAATTCCTCGAGTATTCACTGAATTGACTTGAATTTATTCAACAACTTGGAGACATTCTTCACGATGGACAACGTCTAAAATTCTATTCTGCATTGACGATGAGTCAGATCTTGTGCTGATCCTCGTGAGAAAATTTATGGAGAACTATTCCATTCATAGGGGAATGCTTGCCTCTTTTTCTATTTTTTAATTAAATATTGATGAATGAAGCCTTAACGTTCTCATAACTGAGTGCTCAATTTTCAATAAAAATTATTGAAAAAAAGAGAAAAGATTGTAGAAATCAAGAACAAAAAAGAAAAATTAATCTGCTGTTTAAAGGGTCTTTTATCGTAATTATTGAATTCTATTCTATTTTTAAAATGTGTCAGAACTCATTCAATCACAGGGAATCGCTGTCGTTTTTTTAATTTTCATTTTCGAAATAAATCATTAAAAATTATCGAAATTATATTCATGAATGGAGCTTTTAAAAAACTCTAATGCTGCCATTCAAAAAATTATCATGTTGATAATCCAATAAAATTATTGAAATTTGACGTGAATATTTAAATTTAAAAGACATTTTCGACTCTGAAGGCATCTTGTCAAAAATTATCAGAAAATAAACAGGAAAAATGAATGAATCAAATGTAAACGGTCTGTTATGGTAATCATTAACCCTGCCACTGACAATAATGTCTGGAGTATCAGAAGACAATCAAAATATTATCACGCTATTTGAAGTGCTGCCACTGTGGATTAACAGGTAAGTGCGCGATAACACGAAATAAATGTTAATATTATCCCTACTGGATGCCGCATGAGTCATATTTTTTAATGAATAATAAAACTAATGAAGAGCTTGGACGGCATGTGGAATTAAGCCGCAGCCTTGAAATACAATACCATGTGGAGTTTCGTGATGACATGTTCTGGGCTTGTTCGCGGGTTACCACTGTCACATGACCCTAACAAACTTTCAACATAAAAATACCAGTATATCCAGTTTTAATGTTTTATTTTATGGTAATACGTTTCGTATTTCTCTTGAGAGAAACCACGGCTAGAAGCAATCTCTGGAATACGAATGAGCAAAAGCTAATATAGATAAATTCTATTGAATTTTAATTGAAAATTATGTTTTTTTCCATTGTAAAAAATGTTTAATAGAAACTATTTTATTTTTTATATTTTTATATTTTATGTTTTGAATTCCTCAACATTGATATACCAATTCCAATTTTTTTTACTTCATTTTTTTTCTATAGACAATAGACAATAGAATATTTTCTATAGACAATATTTCAACAGAATAAGTTGTACAGAGAAAAACTTTGCAAATTCAATATTGAAAATTAATTATAGAAAATGTCCAATAAAAACCAAACGAAAAACCTTGGAAAATTTAGAAAATTTCAATGGAATTCTTTTCTTTTTTTCTGTAGAATATTCTCCATTGGCCATGTCTACTGAGAAAAACACAGACGACATGCGGATTTATTCCGTAGAATCGGCCAAAAATTGATAAAAATTTCCATAGAAATTCACCAGAATTTTATTCCCACGTAAAGCTCTCTCCATCGACCGTATTATTCCAATAATTTCATTTATCTAACCAGCAAGCTCGCCCTCCACTGAATCATATTAATCCTCATGCATATAATGGCTTCCGCATTGAGACATCAAGAGGAATAAGAAATGTAGGATAAGGCCCCCCGCCTGAAATCGATACCCTATCCTATGAATAAACTACAATGCAAAATGATGATTCTCCAACTGCAATGCCTTCGGCACACGATCGAAACTTGCCAGTTTTGCTTGGCATGAAACCATCGGGTCATTGGGTTGGCTGTTGTTAACATGGATATAGGGTTTGGCAAGGTCGATGTCTATCGACTTTTCATGCTTTAATACAGAAGATCTCATTGTTGATAGAAAATCTTGTTTTATCAGGCATCCCCTACTCTTTTTACCGTACACGATGGAAAGCAGACGTCGACGACTTGTCCCGTGAATCATTACGGTTCAAGGGAGATTGAGTGTGAGTAATAGTGGCTGAGTAGGCAGTCTTTATACTGTCTCTGCTAGTTGTCATTTTTTATGATGTTTTAATGCTCGGAGTTGCGTCCGGGGTGCGTCAGGCTTTAGTTTATCGTCAGAACTTAATTCATGACAGGACCACATGATTTTATTTTCAAGCTAATACATTTTGGAATTCAAATTTAAGGATATTTTTTATCATGTGAAATGCTTCCATTTCAGTCCAAGTTTCCAGACATTTTATAATGATTTTATTATTTAAATTTGCAGGTCTAAATGTAAATCTCGATATTGAACTGTTAGAAGACATTCTTTTGATTGGAAAAAGGCAATTGTTTAAAATTATGAGCATTTTCTATAAATGATTTATAAACAATCGATTTTCCACTATAAAAATCATTTGTTTTTAGAATTTGACCAGAAATAGATTTTATGCTTTAAAAATAATGTTTCCGAAAGTTCAAACAATATCAATTATTTATTTATCAACAACGAATGTTTTAATGACGAAAAATGCAATTCTAATTTTAATAACAATTACCATTTTTTCAAATTTTTCAAATTGTAAAAGATACTTGGCCATCCTTAACCATGAATTTCATGTTTCAATGTGATTTTGTGTTCAGACCTGATTTAACGTCCAGACTTTACCTCAATCTAAACATAAAATCAATCAATCTAGACGTAAAATCAACTCGAGACCTAAATAACGTTTAAATAAATGCTGGAAAACCCTCGGAATAAAAACCCCAATGACATGAGTCAAAAGTGACGGTGCACATCCTGTCATCGTCCAATGCAAAAACAATGAAAAAAAAAAAGTATCAGAGTTCACTACAACAAAATAAACACGAATGCTCTTTCTCTCATAATCTTTGCACGCTATACACCGAGAGTACAACGAATCAAGGTCACTGCGTCGCATTGCGAGAAGACTTTGAATATCACGGTGGCATAATTCATACCCACTTGCACCATGTACCAACGATAAACAGGATAACATTGTTACATATAGCAAGGCCTAGTGATCAGAAAATAATAAAACTAGGCAATGGGTTACCAAGACTACGATAGTGATTGTTCAATCATTCAGCTATATGACTGGATGAGTCACTTGGGAAGCCAGAGGAACAACTATCCACGGTATTATCGCACATCATTCACGCGATTTGTGTGGAAAATTGCGTAAGGGGATGGTAAACAGAAGTGACAGGTGGCGGGTGGGGGTAAGAGGAGGCAGAGAAGGCCTGAAACCATACTAATCGGTTTTTTCCCTTTCTGTCAGTTGATTCCAATTGACCTCGGTAACATGATGGATTATGGGAATTAATCGGTAGTCACGGTTGTTTTTATGGTCAGAGACAGCACTTCTACATTAATAAATTCTCGAAACAGATAATTACGTATTTTTAAAACATGAAAAATTAATTTCCTCGATTTTTCATTATTTTTAGAACAACTTTTTGATTTTATTTGATGAATAATTAAGATGAATAATTATGATGCTTTTACTTTTTTATCATTTTTTATTTTTTAAGGATTTTTTTTGAAATTTTATCAAATATATAATAATTATCGTGAATGCATTAAAATTCATTGCAATGGATCTAGGCAAATGTATTTATCCATCATTAGAATTCCACGCTCGGGTACTTCTAGGACAGAAATGTGTTAATTACAACATCCAATAATCCGTCCTTGGAGCACTGAATCGCTCCAGCACGCCTAATTTTACGTTTCAAAGAAGTCATAAAGAATATTACTCAAACCTCAAGGTTTCAATGAACAAGAAGTTGGAGGGCGTTTAGAATAAAGAGGCCCGTGCCCACGCAGTTTGAAGGGATATATCTCGTGGGATATTATTCATATTACTCTCTACTGGTGTAGAAATTCAATTAAGTTAGGCTTTTGTATCTGGCAAAATCAATGGGAATTGGACGACAATGACAACTGCGCCGGCCTGACGGGTGTAATCTCATTTAGGCGGTTAACAGGTATCTCTTCAGTGGGAAGAAGAAGTTGCTAGAAATGTTCAGTTGAAATTTGTGATTTATGCTAGCACGTACTAGCGTAAATTCTAGCGCGAGATATGGATATCATGGGTACTTTTGTTTTTTCGTGATAGAAGTGATTGGAATTCGATTTTTTTTTGCAAATATCTTGAGAACTATTGGGTTCAGGGGAAAATGTTATGGGAACTTTTTGTAGAGAATTTAAAGCACTCCAAAAAGTTCATCTGACATTTTTCAATAAATTCAATAGCTCCGGAGATATTTACAACAGAATTATCAAGTTACTTTCATCAAAACCCAATTAATTGTTGAAAAATCTCATAAATCATTGGGTTTATGAAAAAATATCATAAGACATTTTTTGTACCTCTCAAAATTCTCTACAAAAATGATCTTTTGATATTTTTCTCCAAACCTCTCCCCTCCAAAGATATCCGCAATCAAATCTGGACTCGACAAATTTTTTCTCAAAATTTCCTCTTCTAAAAAACAGAATTAGCGAAGAGTGGAAACAGCAACTTGGCCTATCGAGGTCTGAGTTCCGAAATTGATTTCGACGTGATACCGAGTCCCGAGAGTCTCTTCACCCTGGAAGAACTAATCGGCGAGGGTACCTACGGTGAAGTGTACGCTGCTCGCGATCAAGCAAAAAATACCCGTGTGGCAATTAAAATTCTCGAGAATATCGCTGACAACATCGAGGAGATCGAGGAGGAGTACCTGATCCTTCGGGATTTGAGCCCCCACCCGAATATCCCCCTCTTCTACGGTTTATTCATGAACAGAGGAAGTGTTGGACAGGATGAGGATCAACTGTGGTTCGCTATGGAGGTAAATTCCACCCCCAGAAAATAGTGGAATAGAATAATTTGCCAACAAATCTCTACAGATGAGTGAAAAAGTTACGTAAATATATCACAAAATTCAATCCTATTTTTAGCTCTGCACAGGCGGTGCTGTTACGGATTTGGTCCAAGGGCTGAAGAAGCGAGGAAGCCGTTTGACTGATAATCAAATAGCTTACATAATCCGAGAAACCGTCGAGGCGCTCGTCTATTTGCACACCAATCACTGCATGCACAGGGACGTTAAAGGACACAATATTCTCCTCACTGAGGAGGCCAATATTAAATTGGTGGATTTTGGCGTTTCGTCGCACATGGCTATGACACTTGCTCGAAAAAATACGTCTGTGGGAACTCCCTATTGGATGGCACCAGAGGTCAATCCCATGTTATTATTCTCACTCGAAGGATATTTTCCAATGTTAAAAAACAATTGAAATTTCGGGGAGTTGTAATTTTTGGCGCAGTGCGATTAAATCAGATTTTAGGGGCAATTATATTAAATTTCATTGATATTTCCATAAAATTTAGAATTTTCAGTGACGAATTGCCTTGAAATTTCAGTGGAACTAAAATATGATGAAAATTTTCAAGAATAATATTGGAAAAAATTGGCATTTCAATTTCATTAATTGACTTGACTTCATTCTTTTCATTGACTGACTTGAATTCCCCCCCAAAAAAAAACATATTAAAAATACTTGAATACCTAAAGGCAGTCTCTACCACGAAATTGATTTTCTCCTAATTAAATTTCTTACAAAATGTCATTCTAGTTGACGAGGTCTGGCCAAGGCCGTTGAATAACATGAGTAGACTTGAATCAATACTGATTATCAATTGTCGAATATGAGCGTAAACAAGAAAACTTGACTTCCGCAAAGAAATTAATTTAAAAAAAAGCAAAACACAATTCTAAAAAATTTTTTAAACGTCTTTCACGCAGGGAATATTCCCCCGGCCCTCAAAACCTCTCAATGAAGCTCCTTAATCACTAATTAATTAGCGTAATATGAACGTAAACATTAATTGAATGAATAAATCGAAGAAAACTTGACTTCCGCAAAGAAATTAATTTTTTTTTAAGTAGAAAAAAATTCTAAAATTTTTTTAAAATGTCTTTCACGCAGGGAACGTTCCCCCCGGCCCTCAAAACCTCTGAATGAAGCCATAAACATTAATTAATTCCCGAATGATTAGGTAATAGCATGTGAACAACAACTGGACTCCTCCTACGACTGTCGCTGTGACGTGTGGTCAGTGGGAATAACAACAATTGAATTAGCCGAGGGTGATCCACCCCTTGCCGAGCTCCACCCGATGCGTGCACTATTTCAAATACCCCGAAATCCACCCCCTAAACTCAAAAATCCCGAGCTCCATCTACCAGAAATGTCGGACTTCATTGGCGAGTGCCTCGTCAAAGATCTTGAGCATCGACCCTTTGCGAGTGAGCTTCAAGAGCATCCACTCCTGAAGTCTGTTGATTGTTTTCACGAGCAAGTGAGGGATGAACTACAAAGGGAAATTCAGAGGCAGAGGAACGAGGGTAGGGTGCACAGACAACCGGAAATAACAACCAAGCATGGAAAATTGAAGTGCGATAGGAAGATTGCGGCCAAGAAAATTTATTTCGATGACCTTGCTGCACTTGATGCCCTATCTGAGGACAGTATTGTTGAACAGCTGGAGCACAGATACTCGGAGGGACAAATATATACGTATATAGGTGAATTTTCGGTATTCATTGATGTTTTTTCGGTAATTCTATTGGATTTCTATTGAATTTTTATTATGCTGAGAAGAAAAAATTTGCTCGGCCGAAAAACTATAATAATTGATGGAGTAGAACAGTTACTTAAGAGAAATTGAACAACTTGGTAACAGGAAATTTAATTAATGTCTTTTTAAAAAAATTGAATTTTCGTCATGATAATCAGAATTATCCCTTAAAAAAATCGATCTGTTGGCCGGAAAAAATATAATGTCAGAAAAAATACACTGATGAACACTTTTATCATGAAAACTACTATCTTGATCTGTCCAGGAGACATTCTGGTGGCAGTTAACCCCTTCACCAATCTGGGCCTCTACACCGGAATTGAACAGCGCCGATACAAAGGTCAAGCACGATCAGACAATCCACCCCACATATTCGCAGTGGCTGACGCTGCATATCAAGCACTACTCCATCAACGTCAGAACCAAGCCATCATCATAAGTGGTGAATCTGGTGCTGGTAAAACTGAGAGTGCAAATTTATTACTTAAACAATTGGTTTACTTGAGCAAAGCACCAAACAGAAATCTTGAGGAGCAGATACTGCAGATTAATCCTATAATGGAGGCATTTGGCAATGCCACAACTGGTATCAATGCCAACTCATCGAGATTTGGAAAGTACTTGGATTTAACCATGACCAGGGGTGGTAAAGTCACTGGGGCTAGAATTGCTGTTTATCTTTTGGAGCAGTCGAGGGTTGTTGCACAAGCGGCGTAAGCGTTTTTTTTTACAAGTCAATGAAGTTCCCATGTTCATGAATAATTTAATGAAAATTTACTGAAATTTTAAAATTTATGAAATTCGGAATTCGTGACCTTAATTTAAGACAACACCTGAATTTAAGCCACGGCTAGAATTTGAGCTGTGAACTGAATTTAAGCCGTTATGGCTTGAATAGTTATGAATTAAATTTAGCTCCTGTCCGGAATTTAAATGGCCGGGACCTGAATTTAAAATGGAACCTAAATTTAAGCCACGGCTTGAATTTAAATGACAATGGGAATTTAAGTCATGACTTAAATTTAAGACGACACCTGAATTCAGCTCGCCGGGACCTGAATTTAATATGAAACCTAAATTTATGCTACGACTCAAACTTCAATTGCAACCTGAATTTAAGCCAGGACTTAAATTCAGGTTCCGACCTTATTTTCATTCATAACTTCCTTCTCTCTCCGGCCTGAATTTAAGTCATGGCATAAACCTGAGCGGGAAGTGACCGGAATTTAAGCCATGACCTAAATCTAACCCACAACTGAAATTAAATGGTAATAAATTACCACTGTTTCATTGAAACTTGCAGAGGCGAGCGAAATTTCCACATATTCTATTACATGTACGACGGTCTGGAGGCGGACAACCGTTTGGAAGAGTTCCACCTGGACTATTTACTCCGTAATAATCACAGATATTTAACCGATAACAGCTGTGCGAGCAAAGCTCACATCGATAAATTCTACGAAATAAAGAATGGCTTCAAAGTACTGGGATTTCGGGATGCCGAGGTGGACACTGTCTACGCGGTTCTAGCGGCTATTTTACATCTCGGGGATATTGAGTTTGAAGAAGCTGCTGGGGAAGATAACACGGATAATAAGAGTGTTGTCGTGAATAAGGATCCATTGAATCGAGGCGAGTTTATCTCAATTTACTTTTTATGGGATTTATCACTCGTTAAATATTAGATGTAAATTTTATTTTCGTCTGAGGAAATTTTTAAAAACCTCCAAAACTATCAGATTTATTCAGAAATAGCCAAAACCTTTTTTATAGAGAATTCCATAAACTAGAAAAAGTATCTCTGATCTTTTTGGAAATATCTAATAGTTTTAAAAAATTTTGGACTTTTAGTCACTGAAATTATGTAATTTATTGTGAAATTTCAGTCTCTCATCTTCTGGGAATTGAGAGAACAGATTTATTGGAAGCATTGACATCAAATTCAGTAGTAACGAGAGGTGAAACAATTACACGTAATAACACAGTGGAAGAGTCATGTGCAGCGCGTGATGCAATGGCAAAAGGATTGTACGGTCGTTTGTTCGATTGGATGGTCAATCAGATAAATTGCCTGCTGAGTTTTAATAGATCACCGAAATACGAGCCACTGGCCATCGGTCTTCTGGATATATTTGGTTTTGAAAATTTTCCGAGAAATTCTTTTGAACAATTGTGCATAAATATCGCCAATGAGCAGATACAGTATTACTTCAATCAGCATATATTCACGTGGGAGCAGCAGGAGTACATGGCAGAGGGAATACCCGTTGATCTCGTTGAATTCTCGGATAATAGACCTGTACTGGATATGTTACTCAGCAAACCAATGGGCTTGTTAGCGCTATTGGATGAGGAGAGCCGATTTCCGAGGGCTAATGATCGATCATTAATTGGTACTGTCAATTGAAGCTCATTAATCGTCTATTATTAGGGGAGAATGAATGAAATATCAATAACCGTTTGATGTTCAAATCTGAATTTAAGTCGCGACTTAAATTCAAGTCCAGATGGAAATTTAGGTTGCGATTTAATTTAGTTGTCGAGGCCTGAATTTAAGTCGCGCGTTGAATAAAAAGCAACACCTGAATTTAAGCCCCGAATTAAATGTAAGGTACGGCCTGAATTTTAACCGCAATTTAAATGTCCGGCGAGACCTGAATTTAAGCCACAATTAAAAACTTGATTTTAAGTCGTTACCTTAATTTAAATTGTGGCTTAAATTCAGGTCACGGCCTAAAATTAGATCTACCTCAACAATTCCAAAAATTATGCATCAAAATAATTCATTCCCGTTAATTAGTACTTCCAAAATTACAGAAAAATTCCACAGCAACATAAAATCGAAATTTTACGTTCGCCCCAAGTCGGATGCCGCCTGTTTTGCAATCCATCACTTTGCTGGTCGTGTTGTGTACCAGGCAGACGGTTTTCTGGAGAAAAATCGCAACTTTTTACCCCCCGAAGTGATTCAACTAGTCCGACAATCGCAATCTGATATGGTTAGATTTTTATTCCAATGCCCAATCACCAAGACCGGTAATTTGTATTCAGCGCTACGTGATACGGGTTCACGTAATTCAACGCATTCCAATCATGATACAAAGGCACGTACTTGGCTTTTTCAAAGTCAAAACACTGTAATTCGTCTCGGCGAACACAAAGCGATTAATAACCGATAAATTTCAAATGCGACGGTTCTTTTTTTCAATAGGAGAAATATTCGAGCCGAGGATTGGCGTCACAGTCGAGGGCCCAACAGACTGTCGCGACTTATTTCAGGTACTCGCTGATGGATCTACTACAGAAGATGGTCACGGGTTGCCCTCAGTTCGTCAGGTGCATCAAACCAAATGAAACAACGAGTCCTAGGTATTTCGATAAGGAGAAGGTTGTTAAGCAGTTGAGGTACACTGGAGTCCTGGAGACTATTAGGATCAGGCAGAATGGTTTCTCACATCGGATTCCCTTCAATGACTTTTTGAAGAGGTTCACTATTTTTTTTTTAATGACTTGAGAGACAGTTGGGTTGAAACGGATGACTACTTGAAAGAATAATTATAAACGAATGATTTTACCAGCTTGAGTCAGAAATAAATATAGCTGTGAATTTTATAAAGTTTGGGCGCGACTTAAATTTAGGATGTGACACAAAATTTAGATCGGAAGTCAATTCAACGAGAAATCAACGATTGTTGGAGGTCCAGACCTAAATTTAAGCACTGGCCTAAATTCAGGTCTTGGCTTAAATTCAGGTCGCCACTCCAATTTTCAACGCAACAGTCTTTCATCTTATCTCTAGCCAATTAAATTCGCCAGAAAAATAATTCTAACCTACTCCTCCCCTCGATAACTCTATTTAATCCTCAACCCCTTTCAGATACTGTTTCCTAGCCTTCGGCTACGACGAGAAAGTGGTAGCCAACAGTGACAACTGTCGTCTCCTCCTGATCCGCCTGAAAATGGACGGTTGGGCCCTCGGAAAGACCAAAGTCTTTCTGAAATACTATCACGTAGAGTTCCTCTCAAAAATGTACGAAGAGCAAATAAGAAAAATTGTCATGGTTCAGGCCTCGGTGAGGCGTTGGTTGGCAAAAATATATTACAAAAAACAGAAGTGGCAGTTGGCTTGCTCGGTGGTAACCCTCCAACGGCATATTCGCGGCTGGCTGTCGAGGAAGAGGATTAATCCTAAAGTATTGCATCGAAGCCTGTCGACGCTACCGTCTCCCTTGGAAGACATCCAAGGTCTCCAAACCCCTTTTCCTCTCTACTCTCCTCTCCTCTCACAATTTATCACTCTCATTATTTCATTACAGCGGAAGAAAAGCTGAACGAAATTCTCCGTAGCAGAAAAATGTCCCAGGATGCTCTAGCTGACCAAATAGCAAAACTCTCGGCGAGTGTCGATAAAGGCGATATCAATGAGGATGACGCAGCTGTAATCATCCAAAGCTGTGAGTGCTCATTTCAGAATTATGAAGCGTTAAAAATACGATTCATGATTGCTAAGCAAACAAATCGGTGCGATTCAATCCCCTCAGTCTTCCGTGGCTACACCATCAGAAAGCGTTTCGGCTACCAATTGGAGGAACGCTTCAAGGAAATCCTGAATAAATACAATTGCAAACAGGAGGCACGAGAGGCGCTGATTCGAGAGGGAGTGAGGAATGAGGACGCAATATTTATCGTCCACAGATGGTACAAGAGGGAGGTCCGAGTGAAAAAACCGAGTAATGAACCCCACCCGAAGCTTCGACAGGCCGATCTCATTCAATTTTCACAAGATGTGAGAAGCTATCTCAGTAGCCAATTTGAGTAATTAATTCGAGCATTAGTTTTTCATGGATACAGCTCATTTGAAGAGAGATAGTGAAATGTTCGTGATAACCTTTTTTATGGAGGAGCCCTAGTGGAAAATCCTAAAATTATAGCGTTACATACCTGACCAGTGTCTGATCAAGACCTGACTAAAAATTTCCACTCGGGTATGATTCAATTTGAGAATGAAATTCGTAAGTGTCCTGGTAGCTCAAATGGTAAGAGCACGCGACGCGACATTGGACGGTCCCGTGTTCGATTCCCGGCTACGAAGTTACTAATTTTATCTCACAAAATTAAAATTTAATTAATGCCTAATGAAGGTAGGTGGCGAAACCCTAGTGGAAAATTCAAAAATTATAGCGTTATATACCTGATCAGTGTCTGATCAAGACCTGACTAAAAATTTCCACTCGGGTATGATTCAATTTGAGAATGAAATTCGTAAATGTCCTGGTAGCTCAAATGGTAAGAGCACGCGACGCGACATTGGACGGTCCCGTGTTCGATTCCCGGCTACGAAGTTACTAATTTTATCTCACAAAATTATAATTTAATTAATGCCTAATGAAGGCAGGTGGCGAAACCCTAGTGGAAAATTCAAAAATTATAGCGTTATATACCTGACCAGTGTCTGATCAAGACCTGACTAAAAATTTCCACTCGGGTATGATTCAATTTGAGAATGAAATTCGTAAGTGTCCTGGTAGCTCAAATGGTAAGAGCACGCGACGCGACATTGGACGGTCCCGTGTTCGATTCCCGGCTAGGAAGTTACTAATTTTATCTCACAAAATTAAAATTTAATTAATGCCTAATGAAGGCAGGCGGCAAAACCCTAGTGGAAAATCCAAAAATTATAGCGTTATATACCTGATCAGTGTCTGATCAAGACCTGACTAAAAATTTCCACTCGGGAGTTTAACTCCTACAAAAAAGGTGTCAATGGTAATTCCGCTATCTCCTTTCGATTAAAAGATACTCATCGCAAACTGAATGAGTAATCAAATTGATGTCTTCAATTACGACATCATCACTCAATTACAGTGATAAGGGTTGATTTGATTCGTTCAAGGTACACATGAAAAATCAGGAGGTACACAAATATCTCAGGAGGAATAAGCCGGGTATCAGATTGAACGAGATTGATGCACCCCCCGAGGATTACCAACGACCCGAGGGATTCAAAATGGTTCAGGCTGTCATGAATTATCGAAGTGGCAATCAAATGGAGGTTGATGAGACGGTGAAGTATTACAGAGACTTAAAGGAAGAAATGAGTAGGTAAATATTTCCATCAACCACAGCCTCCCCTTCCTATCGCCAATCACCGAGTTATCCCTTTGTGCGACATTTTAATGCATTAATTCATTCCAACATTTGACATTCTCATCGTAAGTGGTTCGGAATTCGAAGAAGACGAAGTTGGCTGGGACTTGCCGCTGATACAGCTGGAAAATGACCTTCATCCGTCAACGAGGTTTATCAATTTATTCTGAAATTGATTGCACTGAGAGGAAAAACTAGAAATTTTAACCTTTCGATGACGAAAGTAACTAAAAACTTATACAATTTAATTTTAAATTCAGTCTAATGTAATCGTGGAATTTGGCAATGAATGAACTTGAAATTTCAGTGGAACTATAACACGATAAAAATTTTAAAGAAATGTACCAGAAATTTTACAAGTGCATTTTTTTCTCTCAGTGATTTTTAATGTCATTTAGATGTTCAGTTGGACTGAATTTTTTGGGTTATTTTTAGTCGCAACGATCAGGGCCATGTTCTAGAGGTGAGCTCAGAGAGGCAGGACAGGCTCATTGCCCAAGGCGACTACGTTTTAGCACCGGAACATCAACTATCCGATATTTGGCACAAAGCCTTGAGACAGCCAGACTCAAAACCCGGAAGAGAACAATCGGAAAAGGCACGAAGGTATGATCAAAGCGACACTTTTCACGCAATTTAGGTGGATAATCGTTGCGTTGAGGTTCTCCCTGACTTTTGTGAATTTAAACTCCTTCAATTACTATTTCAGTTTAATAATAGATCAACTTTCTGGTCCCATTAGTGATTGAACGAGTAATCAAAACTGATGTCATCATCATTCCTCGATAATGAGATGATAAAAAATCAATTTCACTTCGTTATTGACTTGAAAAGTGATGAGAATAAAATTATTTCCCGCTGACTATTGATATGCTGATAAAATATGATTAATGAAATTCCATTCTCGTGACAGAAATTTGAATGAATCGGCAAAAAAGTCAACGTACATTCATGAACTATCTATTCGATGAATAGTAAATGAAGAAAAAAAGAAGACAAGTTAAAAATACGAAGATGTATAACGTCTAATGTTTTTTTCTTTATTGCAGAGGAATCATGGCGAACTTTCAGGTAAAAAAACGATCAACATCTCTTAGAATGAAAATTAAATTGAGTAAAAAAATGATGAAATGCCAATTTTGTTTTTTTGAAAAATTGTTTCAGTACAACGATTAATGGAGTGTTCCCCCCTGGCATGCAGAACATCCAAGAGTATCGATCAAACCCCCATGACTCTCCGTATTTCCACTCTACAGTTGATGTACGGATCCCACCAGAGCCTGGAAACATCAGTCTAACTAACAAGAATTTAATCAAAACTAGTCTGAGCATGTATACACTTTTATTTAGTTTCGTAATAGTTAATAGTGTTACTAAAGACACGATTCTCATTGTTTCAACACCATCTATGTATGTCTTTGAAAAAAAAAAACATTAAAAAGGAAGTTTATTTGAAACAGCAAAAAAAAAGTCGAGCGAGATTGTTGCATTCCTCTGAGTTGTCTCGAATAGTTCGAGTCACTCGTTTAATTCTTGTTCAATGTATGTGGTTTGGGGGGAAAAAATTGCATGCAATTTCGGTTGAATGCTTCAAGCGGTTCTTTCGATAATGTGGATACCGCTGTCTGTGTGCACGGGGGAGGAGAGCTCTCCAACTTTGAGAGCAAATGCCGCTTGCTCAAAGGGTTTTTGCATAGCACCTCTGCCAAATGGCCCAAGATCACCTCCACGTTTTGCGGAACTGCAGTCGCTGTATTTTGATGCTATTTCGGTGAATGTTGTTTTTCCAGATGTTATTTGTTCACGGTATGCTGGAAGATCAATAGATTTTTTTGGTTTAATACCAGATGTTGGGGGAAAGTGAACAAGATTTGATGAAGTTCAATTCTAGTTCAGAAGCTGTTTTAGCTCATGGGGAGTTGGAAGTGTGACTTGTTTAAGTTGAGGCTCAACGTCCGATGATTTGCTGTGGTCTGTTGATGTTTGTTGGAGATGGAAAGGGGTTCACTAGGTTTTTGTCGTTTTATTGCTGTCGAGTCAATATCAGTCAGATATCAGTGTAGCTTGATGCTATTTCGGTGAATGTCGTTTTGCCAGATGTTATTCGTCCACGATATGCCGGAAGATCAATAGATTTTTTTCGTTTTAATCCAGGAAATTGGGGGGAAAGGGAAGTATTGCTGAAGTCGAGGCAGGAAGGTCCAGGAAACTCTCAAACATCGAATTGGCCAATTTAATTGGGTGGAAAAATTTGGAAAAGCTGATGGGAAGTTGAGGATGTGATTTTTGTTTAAGTTGAGGCTCAATGCTCGATTTGTCGGTGGCTGTCGCCGCTTATTGGAGATGGAAAGTGGTTCACTAGGTTTATATTATTTTATTCAACAATCGATTTGTTGTCGTCTGTTGCCGTTTACGCTTGTCTGTTGTCACTAGGTTTTTTACTGTTTTATTACTGTCGGGAGAGTCAATGATTGCAAGTGTTGGTACGGGGATTAGTCATTTATGATAATGATGAAGTGATCAGATAATTGTTGATAGTTACGATCTCAAAATTTTCGAAAGAACTTTTTTTGCAGCCCTTACTCTCCCCCAAAAAAAAGCCTCTGTAAAAATTTCTATCGTATACTCCGTGATATTTCCCCACAAACTCAAAGTATAATTGACTTGTCCTGTTTTACCCCTTGTGAATTTTTAAACCTCATCCCTTCAAAGACATTTCCAAGATAATGAAATCCAAAATTCATTCTAGAGCAATATCTCGTGTTGACAACTGCATGATTGTTTGACCCCACAAGACCTTTGAATAAACGACCTCCAACTCACATTTGATAAGATCAAGGGCCTCTTCCTTCGATCTCGTGATGTTCTGTTCCCTCCAGGAGGAGGGACGTCTCGATCCAGCATGTTTAACTAGAATATGAGAACACTGAACCTCCTCAGGCCCATCACCATTGTCGCACGGCTGTGCTGGCTTGCTGGGTACGTCCCACTGACTCTCCTTGGTATAAATATTCAAATAATAGTGTTGCCCTATAAAATTGTATGAATGAAACATCGATAACTCCACCCCTGCGAATCGCCCTGAGCTCTCACTTCCAATAATCAATTAATTCCACAAAATGCGGAGGAAAATGTATTTTGACAATTGTATACCTGTGGACCTGCTGAGCCGTTTCTCCCAACCCTTGGGCAATTCCTCATTAGCCATAATGCTGCCAAATAGCCCCCAAGAATGACCTTCCTACTCCGACCAACGAATTTATTTATTCAGACGAAGCTAAAGATTTCAATTGCCATGTAACAACACAATTTTCCGATATTTGTCACTCCTGCTATTTCCACACTACGGAAGAGCTGTGCCGCTGTGCGCACCTCAGCACGCGCACCAAAGCACTCAAAAAAAAAATCAGCTCCACTATCGGAAACGCAATATTTGAATGAATGACTGGACGTCAAAGAATTATTCTTCGAGTTTGATTTTCCCAATTTGTTATTTCCCTGCGACGAGAATAAATGGAGAAATAAATTGTGAGAGGAGAGGAATGGAGGGTTGCGAATCGATTGTCGGCATGGAGAGACTGACGCTCACTTCAGACAGTAGGAGACGAGTTTTCGTGATTATCTGAACATCGACGGTTAGATAATTCCGAAAAAATCGAGAAATTTAAAGGATTTATCTAGAAATTTTTGCCCCTCATAACGAAAAACTGCTTCAGAATTTTTGCCAGACGGATATTTTCCTGAGGAAATTCATTAATTAGCCTACTACCGAGTTTTCATAATTATTATCTCAACTTTGACGGTTAGATAATCCGGAAAAAACGAGGAAGCCGTAGGAATTATCTGTACCTCATGATAAAGACCATATTTTTGAATTTTTCTCCAACGGTTTTGAAGAGAAGATTCATTCGCTCGCTTGCTTTATGTTCCTACCAAATTATTGTTGATAGAATAGAATGGATTAATAAATGAGTTTCAATCACTCACCGGCGTTGGATGAAAACAACAGCTTTCGTTTTCACCTCTCGAACTGCCGCCAATTGTTGTCAACGAGTTTTTATCCTCTTGAATGCACTTACACTCACAAAAAATGAATTTTACGACTCTAAATTGACTAGAAAAAATGGAAAAAATACTTTTTTTTTTCAAAGAATTGAACACTTTAATGAAGCTGAAACTATCAGAATATTCGTCAGCGGAAAATTCAATTTACGCGATATTCAAGTGTAGGAGAGTCAAATAATCATATATACAAATGTTTTTCAAGTGCCAATGAGTTTGTATATTACTTAAAAACATTTGTACACTCCTATATTCGTCTATGACACATCTTATGCTGTCGAATCTTTCGCTAGTTCAGCTTCATAACACTTTATAAAAAAACTGGACACGATGCATATCAAAGAGGCACAAATTTCAACACTACATTTTAAAAAACAACAAATAAACACACTTCACAAAATATTCACTGACTCGATGAGAATCCCTCTCACATTATAAAATCACTGCACAACTCCCCAACTGAGTCCTTCGTTCTAATTTCCTCAAAAAAAAATTACAATGAGTCTGATTTCAACCCTTTGTTCTCCTTTCAATAACTATCCTCTATATTTTTAGTGCTTTAGACCCTTTATCGCGATGAAAAAATCAGAATTAGGCCGATGTAACTCGCCAATTCCACAGAAATATCGACAACATTTCGCGGAATCACCTCACGATGTTTCAATCGTGCTCTTTGTTCTAATTTCCTCAAGAAAAAAATTACAATGCGTCTGATTTCAACCCCTTGTTCTCATTTTAATAACTATGCTCTATATTTTTAGTGCTTTAGACCCTTTATCGCAATGAAAAAATCAGAATTAGGCCGATGTAACTCGCCAATTCCACGGAAATATCGACAACATTTCGCGGAAGCACCTCACGATGTTTCAACCGTGTTCTTTGTTCTATTTTCCACAAGAAAAAAATTCTTCCACTCGAAGAAATGCTATCAGCCGGTATTTTTGACCCTTCGAGTCCATTATCGCAATTAAAAAATCGTAATGAGTTAAATGTAGCTCACCAACTGCATAAAAATGGTCCTCACATCTCGAAATCCCGACTGAGCCCTTTGTTCTCAGTTCAATGTCACGTGACTGGTTGTTGACACTCAGCCGCCGTCCTCCAATGTTTTGACTCCGTCAGGCCTTCTATCACAATGAAAAACTCAAAAATAGTCCACTGAAGCTGACGAACTCACCGAAAATCCCCCCAGCACTCCCCAAAATCACTCCCAATGTTTCGATCAAGTCTTTTGTTTCAATTTTCGCAAAAAAAATTATTTTCCGTCCCAACAAAGGACGCCGAACAGTATTTTCACTCCCTCGAGCCCCTTCTCAATCAACAAAACAATCACAATTAGTCCAATGCACCTCTTGAACTCAAAAATCTCCTTCAAGCCACGAATTTTCCGGTCCAAGCGAGTCCTTTGTTCCATTCCAAACGCAAACTGTTGCCAGACAAAGGAAAGCCACCGGCCGGCGGCCTTGACCATCCAAATGCATTTTCTCGCCTCCGAAATCACTTGTTTTCGACCGATTAAGTCCGCGATGCCTCCACCGAGTCCTCCAGTCTGTTCTCAGAGACGTTAGAACTCGCCGCCGGTCTCGCTCGTCCACCGGATCGACGATTCTCACTCATTTTCATGTTTTTTATCCGCAGCAACACACCGCGTCGAGGCACCGCATCGAGACACTGGCGAGAATTCAAGATGGCGCAGGCTTGGGGGAGCCGCGCATGCGCACGAGAGAAGTGACTCGTGCCTGCGCAGTGGCACAACTGTTCTGCTCTCTAGTTCGTTCGCTGCTATCACAAGTGCTATTATCTGATTTGCACCAGTTGCTGAATTACTTGTGCATGAAAGTGCAGGCGGAAACGCTGCACACCTGATTAGATGTTCGATATTTCGATAAGAGATGGATAAACGGATTTTTTGATCCGCCTGGGGAGCTGAAGGTAGGACTCTTGTTTACGTTGGGGCTCAATGCTCGATTTGTTGTTGTCTGTTGACATTTGTTGGTGGTGGGAAGTCATTCATGAGATTTTTGTTTTTTTTATTATTTCATTACTGTTGAGGTGGTCAATGATTGCATGTGGTGGCATGAGAATTAGTCATCTGTGATGATGATGGTGAGGTGGTGATGACAATTGGTCGAGTGTTATCTGTTGGGGTTAAGTGTGAGGATCAGATCATGTTGATAGTTGTGATCTCAGAATTTTTGAAAGCACCTTTTTTGTAGGTCTTACTCTCCTCTGTAAAAAACGTCTGTAAAAATTTCTAAAGTATAATCCGCGCTATTTCCCACGAACTCGGAGGGGAATTGACTTGTCCTGGTTACCCCTTGCGAATTTTTAAACCTCATCCCTTCGAAGACATTCGCAAGATAATGAACTCCAAAATTCATTCTGGAGGAATATCTCGCGTTGACAACTGAGTGATCCTTTGACCCCACAAGACCTTTGAATAAACGACCTCCAACTCGCATTTTGTAAGATCAAGGGCCTCTTCCTTCGATCTCGTGATGTTCGGTTCCCTCCAGGGGGAGGGACGTCTCGATCCAGCATGTTTAACTAGAATATGAGAACACTGAACCTCCTCAGGCCCATCACCATTGTCGCACGGCTGTGCTGGCTTGCTGGGTACGTCCCACTGACTCTCCTTGGTATAAATATTCAAACAATAGTGTTGCCCTAAAAAATTGTATGAATGAAACATCGGTAACTCCACCCCTGCGAATCGCCCTGAGCTCTCACTTCCAATACTCAATTAATCCCACAAAACGCGGAGGAAAATGTATTTTGACAATTGTATACCTGTGGACCTGCTGAGCCGTTTCTCCCAACCCTTGGGCAGTTCCTCATTAGCCATAATGCTGCCAAAAAGCCCCAAGAATGCCCTTCCTATTCCGCCCAGCGAATTCATTTATTCAGAGAAAGCAAACGATTTCAATTGCCATGTAATAACGAATTCACCAAGTTTTTCTATTGAATTTCTTCAGACGTAGAATTTCCCGAAATTCTCGTTAAAATTCAGTAATTATGACTGTAGCAGAGATGTCAGACAAATAATGAATGTTTTTTTGGGCTCAAATGAAAGAGCGGGTCGAGAAATGGCGTGCTAGGGCCTCTAAAGATGGTCTTGAGCCAGGGGAGACTCCTCCACCCCAATGTTCTATAGACACTCCTAGACCCCATTGCCCTACTAGACAATGTTGTCACAACTCTGCTTTTCAATTGAAAACAGACATCATCTTTAGAGAGATTTGTCATCTTTAAAGACTTCTGCACGCCGTTTCTCGACCCGCTCTTTCATTTGAGCCAAAAAACATTCATATCTTGTCTGACAGCTCTGCTACAAACTCTGGTAATCAACTCTGGTTTTCAGTTGAAATTGGAATTGTTAATTTGCACAATAATAGGAGTGCATTGACGATTTTTTCTTAACTCGCAAAAATCTTCAAACAATTTGCTACTGATTGGTGATAACATTTTTTGGAAATAATGAAATAGGGGGGATAACGCCTTTTTTTTCAGGGGTGATTTTTCAAAAATTTATTTAAAAAAAAAGTACTAACTAGCAGATGTTTTTTATTAGCTCGCAATTATCTTCAAAACTACTTCAATGAGGAAAAAAATAAAAATTTGGAATATCTATACATGGGGGGCTAATTGATCGGATCTGAGTATCACGGACTTGGCACCAACCCCAGGAATGATCTCCCCCTCCAAACACGGAATTTACCCGTTGCAATTCCCTATTGTCTGTTGTAGAACAGAAATGAATCGCCTGACAGCCATTCCCTAGAGCCAATTCTCCTTACTAAACCCAACCGCAGACCTATTTCCACCGACCTAATGTTGGACAAACCGATGAAGATGAGTGGAATCATCCCCGAGATGGAGCAGATAATAAGCCAACTCGAGCGTGGCACAGTGGTCACCAAGTTCTTCCAGCGAAAGAAGCCCGAGAAGAAGACGCTCATGATCCGGCGTGAGACGCGGCAGGTGGTGTGGGCGAAGAGTCCGACCTACCGGCCCTTCGACGGTTCCATCGAGATCCGCGAGATCAAGGAGATCGTGGTGGGGAAGAGCTCGAAAGAATTCGAGAAGTGGCCGGAGGACTCGAAGAAGATCGAGAACCTGCGGTGCTTCGTCATCTACTACGGCTCTGAATTCCGCCTGAAAACCCTGTCGGCCTCGGCCTTCAGTGAGAAAGAGTGCGAGCTCTGGGTGAAGGGCCTCCGCTACCTGGTGAAGGACACGATAAACGCGCCGTACCCGCTGCAGGTGGAGCGCTGGCTGCGCAAGGAGTTCTACTTCATGGAGAACAGCCGAGAGATGGTGTCCCTCAAGGACATAAAGAGCTTCATGCCCCGAGCCTCCTGCAAGATCTCCACGAACAAGCTTCGTGAAATTTTCCAGCAAGTGGACACTCGCGATCGAACAGAGCTGGGCTTCGACGACTTCGTCACCCTGTACCACAAGCTGATGATCGACCTGAACACCTTCGCCGACTGGGACCTGCTGCGCCTGAAATACTCGAAAACGGGGAAGACGGTGACCCTCTCGGAGTTCCAGAGCTTCCTGACGAACGAGCAAGCCGACCCGCTGGGCTCGAGCCCCTCGCAGGTCTCGAAATTCATGAGGGATTACCTCCAGGACCCCCAGAGGGACGTGCAGGACCCCTACTTCACCTGCCACGAGTTCATAGACTTCCTGTACTCGAAGCAAAACGACATCTGGAACGACAAGTACAACAGACCGACCCAGGACATGAGACGCCCCCTGTCCCACTACTGGATAGCCTCCTCCCACAACACCTACCTCATGGGGGACCAGATCAGCAGCGAGAGCAGCTGTCAGGCCTACGTGAGAGCCCTGAGGGCGGGCTGCCGCTGCATCGAGCTCGACTGCTGGGACGGCCCCGACGGAATGCCCTTCATCTTCCACGGTCACACCTTAACGACGAAAATCAAATTCTTCGACGTCATCAAGACCATCAAAGAGCACGCTTTCGCCACCTCGGAGTACCCTGTCATAATATCAATTGAGGACAACTGCACGCTTCCCCAGCAGAGGAAAATGGCTGCTACGATGCAAGAGGTCTTCGGTGAGAGTCTGCTAACCCAGCCCATCGACAAAAACGAGAGCTCGCTGCCTTCGCCGTTCGCCCTCCGTGGGAAAATCATACTGAAGCACAAGAAACTCCCCGAGGGGGTCGACGAGTCCACCTTCATAGCGAGGAATAACGAGCACCTTCCCCACGAGATGGACCTCAGGAACACTGTGAAGAACGGCATTCTCTACCTGGAGGACATAGCGGAGAGGGAGTGGTACCCCCACTTCTTCATCCTGACGAAGCAGCACCTTTACTACACAGACACCTTCTCCCAGAGTCAGGAAGTCGAGGACGTCGAGGAGGACGACAACGACGCCGAGGAGCGAGAGGCCGAAGTGGCTCAGTCCTCGTCCTTCAACCTATCCGACTCCAGGAGCTTCTCCAACATAACGAGAACGAGAAAGCTGAATGGCCACGCAGTGCCCAACGACGAGCTGCATTACGGGGAGAAGTGGTTTCACGGAAAGCTCGCGAGTGGCAGGGGCGAGGCCGAGGAGCTCCTGCGGAGGTACTCCCACCTGGGGGACGGAACGTTTCTCGTGAGGCAGTGTGTGACCTTCGTGGGGGACTACTGCCTCTCCTTCTGGCGGAAGGGCAAGGTCAACCACTGCAGGATCAAGCTGAAGCAGAGCATGGGGCAGACGCAGTACTACCTGATTGACAGCATCTGCTTCGACAGTCTGTACTCGTTGATAACGCACTATCGAAATCATCCGCTGAGGAGTCAGGAGTTCCTGATAACCCTCAGGGAGCCGGTGCCCCAGCCCTGCAAGCACGAGGAGAAGGAGTGGTGGCACAGCCAGTGCACCAGGGGAAGCGCTGAAGATGTCCTCAAGAGGATACCCACCAATGGCGCATTTCTGGTGCGCCCCAGTGAGAAGGAGAATAACAACAGCTACACGACGTATGCGATATCGTTCAGGGCTGAGAACAAGATCAAACACTGCAGGATTAAGTTCGAGGGGCGGCTGTACACTGTGGGGTCCATTCAGTTCGAGAGTCTCGTGGAGCTCGTCAGCTACTACGAGCGTCATCCCCTGTACAAGAAGGTGAGACTCTCCTGTCCCATCAGTCCGGAAATTATGAGCAGTGTGCTGAGCTCTGGGGACTCGGAGGGTTCTCTATCACAAATTCATGATAACGACGTGGACAGCGAGAACGATTACGACATGCCGGGGTACATGGACCCAGCGGCGTTTCTCTCGAAGATAACGGTCAAGGCTATTTACGATTACAAGGCCAGGCGGGAGGACGAGCTGACCCTCGTTAAGCACGCGATTATCACGAATGTTCATCGACAGGATGGCGGCTGGTGGAGGGGGGACTACGGGGGGAAGAAGCAGCACTGGTTCCCGGCGAATTATGTTGAAGAGATCGACTGCATCGAGGGGCTGGAGGGGTCAGAGGGCCAGCATCTGGATCCCACGGAGGCGATGCTGCTGGGGCACCTGCAGAAGGGGGCGCTTGACATCACTGGGGCTGTCGTGGAGATTGCGGTGGCCGACAGGCCGGGGCTGGAGTGGAGCATCAAGATCCAGAACCCCAACATGTGCTCGGTGTTCGAGGCATGCACACTCTCCAAGGACATCGCCCTCGAGTGGGTGGCTGCCATCAAGGAGACTGCACAGCACGCCAACGTCAGGGAGAATCAGAATAAGGAGATTGAGAGGGCATTGAGGATAGCCAAGGAGATGTCGAATCTCATCATCTACTGCAGATCTGTGGCTTTCGATATGGAGAGGATCGCTGCGAAGAACTTTGTGTTCCAGGAGATGAGCAGCTTCCCCGAGACGAAGGCTGAGAAACTCATTTGCCAGCAGGAGCACTCGTTTTTCCTGAAGTATCATCAGGTGCAGTTCAGCAGAGTTTATCCCAAGGGGCAGAGGATTGACTCCTCTAATTATAATCCTGTGGCCTTTTGGAATGCTGGGTGTCAGATGGTGGCGCTGAATTATCAGACTGGGGACAAGGCCATGCAGCTCAATCAGGCCAAGTTCAGGGAGAATGGCAATTGCGGGTATGTGCTGAAGCCGGAGTTCATGATGCAGGAGGGGTATTTTACGTATGATAAGAGGACTCTCAGGGGGGTCGACACTATGAGGTTTCAGCTGAAGATTGTGGGCGCCAGGCATCTGCATAAACAGGGCAGGGGCACTGCCAGCCCTTATGTCGAGGTGGAGATCGTTGGCGCTGAGTATGACAGTGGCAACAAACTTACGACGAAAACTATTTCTGATAATGGGTTCAATCCTATGTGGAATGAAATCTGTGAGTTTGATGTTGTTAATCCGAATTTTGCGCTTCTGAGGTTTCTTGTGCAGGATGAGGATGTCTTTGGGGACTGCAATTTTCTGGGGCAAGCTACCTATCCGGTGAGTTATTTTGTGATTGATAGCACTTTTTATTCGTTGAGTTATTTTTAAGGGGATTTTTTTGGAGTTTAATGGTTTGAAAATTTATTTCAGGTACAATGTCTTCGAACTGGCTACAGAAGTGTACCACTGAAGAATCAGTACAGCGAAGACCTAGAACTAGCCACTCTACTAGTGCACATATCAATTACGAAAATTCCTTCCTCGTCAAAGTGATGAAAATTTGAATTTTTTCAATGAGATTTTGAGTCTTCTTTTAACGGCGAAATTGTATATTACTGGTTTTATATTCATTACTGTTAATAGATTATGCGAGAGTGAAGTTTATTAAAGAAAACATGAGTTTATATTCAGATAATTTGCGTAGTTGTTTATTACCAATGATACAGATTGATTTTGTGGGAATTGTTTTACAGTGGAGGTCTTGATATTTTGTTTTTAGTGTAAAATATACAAAAACTTTAAGCCGTTTTAGCACGAATAGCCGCACGTTTACCAGTTACAGCCTGGAAACCAGATTTAATGCTAGCTACTGAACACCTTGATCCACAAGTTTCACATTGGAGGAAAAACAGCCTAGTATCTTTCTGCAGAATTGTGTCGGGGGATCGACAGGTGTGACACGTTACGTATTCTTTGATGTAACGTCTCAATACATTTTCTATTTGTTTCTGCTGAAATCTTCCTTTGATTATTAATTGGCTGTTACCGTCGACTGAGCCACTTGTACCCAATTCAGCGAGTAGAAAGTCTAGGAGATGTTTTGGTTGTCTGTGGAGAGTCTTGCAGATCTAGTGAAGAGAAACAATATAAATTATTTCAAGTTTCTGAATAAATATTTCAAATTCTGAATTAACATTTCATTTCATTCATTTTTTTTATTTAAAAAGAATTTTTCGTTTTAATAGACTTTAAAATAAAGAAATGATGAAATTTCAATCAAAAATATTTAACACTGCAGGAATTAAAATTCGAGTCATTCAGAATTCAGAAAAATCAAATGATATAAATTCTAGTCTAAAGAGTATATTTCATAAGAAATTTTTTGCTCTCAAACTTTACAAAAAATTCTTATGAAGAAATTTTCGATTTTAAAATGAAATTAATTCTAAACTGAAAAAATCATTTTAAGGTCCAATCATTACTTTAATTATGGAATAATTACCTCCGTAAAGTTGGCAAAAGACGTTTTCTTCGTGCCAATACGCACGACCTGGGGTGGACGCATGACAAACTTCTGCTTCTTACCAGCCACCATGTCAGGATTCTTTTCCCTCATTATGTTAAATACTCTCAAAAGCAGTTCATCGTACGTGTAGTCTCTGTCTGATCCGATCCAGAGGCTAGTATCCTCCACTAGAACCAAACAAATTCGATAATTACTACAAGATTCTTCACTGGGACCTCCTCACCTAGGAACACTGATCTTATCTAAACATTGAGGATCACTACTACTTCATTTCCCACCCCATCCAACTCTTACCGTATTCTGCACTTCGCTCGGGGTTAGTGCAGCATGTTAACAAATAATACGCCACGTAAATAGCCTCAAGGCAAACATACATAATTTAGTGATGAGGGGATGCATACCATTCTCCTTGTCTTCGTTCTCTTTTCTCTCCTTCTCTTCGGCCACGAGCTCGTCCAGATCCTTCTTTTTCTTCTTTTTCTTTTTCGATTTCGAGAAGTCCATGTCGAGGTCCATGTCGTCGACTGTTATCTCTTCTGTTCTTGATTCTGCTACGTCCTAAACAATAATTATGATTTTTTAATCAAGATGTTTACGACGGGGATGCAAAATAATATCTCAAAAAATTTTAAGGGATTCGTTTTTTTTTTAATTATGGAATTCAATGGAAATTCCATAATTCCATTTTTTTAAAACGAATAAATTCAAATAAATTTAATAATGTCTTTAAGATTTTAATAGCGTAATCATCGAGTCTGAAATATCTAAAATAATCATGTGGGAAAATAAAACTTGACTAAAACAATGAATCTCCCTTCGAGTAAGTCCCCTAAAAAATCGTCTCACCTTTTATTATCTCGCAAATAATGATATAATTTTAAAAAATACTAAAACATCTCTAACACTCTAAATGTTCTGCTGAAATCCCAATAAAATTCTACACGATGTCAAGACATTCACTTTGTTTGAAAAACTTCTGAGATTTTATGAAAATTCCATGAAAAATAGACGTTTTATATCTAACATGGGCCTCTATGAACTCAAATAAAACAATTCATTGCTTCGTAAGGGAAAGAATCCCCAAAAGATGGTCTTACCTCCTTCTTGTTATCAGGCAGAGCAGTCTCCAGCTCCTCTAGATTGAAGGCCTTCTTTTTCTTCTTCTTCTTCTTCCCAAAGCTCTCCAAGTCCAGAGGATCGTCGTCCTCGAGCTGGGGCTGCTCCGGCTCCTGGTTCTCCTTGTCTCCAGTCCCCTCAGGGGCCTCATTGCCACTGCCCCCGTCAGTCATCGCAGCGTCCAGATCAAAAGTCTTCTTCTTCTTTTTCTTCTTCTTCAGAGTTGGGTCGAACACCTGAAAGCAATCAATCCACCGACCTCCATCATCCTCCGTACCTCCAGTGGGCATAACCCCCAGACGTGGTAGACATGCTCGTGTTCGTGACAATTGAACTCAACTCCCGTCAACGATCCCATCCCTCCCAAGCACACAACCAACAGTCTGGAGTCAATAGGGCCTCGATACACTTACGTTGTCTTCTTCGGACATCTTGATCTCCAAATGACAATTAAAATTTGGTATTAATTGATATCGTATGCGTCAGGACACTTCACTGAGGGCTCGAGTGCCGCAGGGACGTGGGAAAGCACGATGTGAATTGCATCAGACTTTTAACCTCTTCAGGCGAATCCACACGAAACGACAATTCCGGTTTAGTTGAACATTTCACCTGGGATTTGAATATTTTCAGGTTTTTATTTTCATACTTCATTGCGGAAGAAAATAAATAATGTGTTGATATTAAGTATTATAAATTCATTAATTTGTTATTGTAAATATTAATTAATACTCATTAATATTCAAATTGATTCAAATAAAATTTAGGAAAATTTTAAGATTAGACAAACTTGTTTTTTTAATGAATAAATAATGGAGTTATTTACAAGGCAGTCGATTATTTTCCGTGTGAAGTGGAAAAAATTCTTGATTTTTGCCATTGTAAGAAGTGAAATTTTGACTTTAAAATTTACTCACAATGTTAAATTTTTAACTCAACAAATTTTTCAACATTTATTTTTCTAAAATACAGTTATTAAATTGAGAAAAAAATTGCGAAAAATTATTTGTACTTGTTAATAATCTCTGAATTTTAAAAAATTCATCTACGGGATCATTAGTCCTCTTTTCATGGCGCTCAGGTTGTGGGTTTTGGTGTCGGCGACATCAAAGTCTTCAGTATAACGCGCGAAACATCAGAGAAACAAGCAGGTTATGCTCATGCCCTCACAAAGTTTACATTTTCCACGGATTGAAACAAAAAAAATAGTTTAAGAATTCAAAGAACAGTTTCTGACGATGAAGTGCACGATTCCGGAGATCTCCTGGCACAATCGTGACCCAGTGTTGAGTATCGACATCCAGACTGCTCAGAAGAAGCCCCAGAGCCCAGAGGAGGAGCCCTTCTGGCGTTTGGCGACCGGTGGTGCTGACACCCACGTTCTCATCTGGCACCTGAGGGTGAACGAGCTCGGGGCTGCCTCGGTGTCTTGTGTGACTGATCTCGATCGCCATCAGAAGGCTGTCAACGTCGTCAGGTTCTCACCCTCAGGGGAGGTTTTGGCGACTGGGGACGACGAGTCTGCGATCATTCTGTGGAGGCAGAAGGAGGATTCTGCAACGGTAGCAACTAAAATATTTTTATTTTATTTCATTTCATTATTTTTATTATTTTTTGATTTTATTCTCAGGTTTTAATTTTTGCTCCCACGAAGAGTATATTTCCTGTGCCTCTTTCAATTCTTTAATAGAAAAATAACAATTAATTTTTTGGTAGAATAAAAATAATTTTACAATCTGAGATCTGTTAAGAGATGATTCTCCAATGGATTTCCTAACAAAATTGATTATCGTTTGATGAATTGTCGTTTTACAGTTGCAAAAGAGCTGTAGGAGAATTAAAAACCAAACATTTATAAAATGCAACAATTAATGGATTTAAATTGAATAGTCTGGCTTCCAATTTTAACCAATTTCAACTTCTAAAATTAAGAGATAATTCCCATTCATTTTCAACAGTCTTTTTACTCATTTTCGAGTATGGACATAAAAAAATGCTTCAAGAATTTGAATTTAATAGAATATTCTCTTTCCCCCAAAATTGAACGTTTTAACTGATTTTTCCTCTCAGACCGCGGAGCTTCCTTCTTCAGACGACGGGAATTTCCAGAATAAGGAGCAGTGGGCAGTCTGGAAGGTCCTCAGAGGTCACCTTGAGGACATATACGACATCTCCTGGTCCCCGGACTCGAGTTTCATGGTGTCAGGATCAGTCGACAACAGTGCAATTGTCTGGGACGTGCAGAAGGGCCGGAGCATAAGTATCCTCCAAGATTACAAGGGCTTCGTCCAGGGGGTGTCCTGGGACCCCTTGAATCAGTTCATCAGCACTCTGAGCACCGACAGACACTGCAGACTGATCGACATCAAAGCTATGAAGACCGTCCAGAGGGTCCACAAAGCAGTGATTCCCACCCCTCCTGGGCATCCCCTGGAGGGTCAGACTGTTCGACTCTTCCACGACGACACCTTCAAGTCCTTCTTCAGGAGGCTGACCTTCACCGTCGATGGCTCTCTCATCGTCGCCCCTTCCGGCATCATCGAGCCCCAGGACTCCAGCCAGAGGGCCTCCAACGCCACTGTTGTGTTCTCCAGGCACAGCTTGAAGGAACCCATCCTCATTCTTCCCTCCATGGACGAGAGCACAATCGCTGTCAGGTGCTGTCCAGTTTATTTTCAACTCAGGGAGGAGGGACCTGCCGCTCTCTTTGCACTCCCTTACAGGATGATCTTCGCTGTGGCCACGCAAAAGTCGGTTCTTATTTATGATACTCAGCAGATTGCACCCGTTGCTGTTGTCTCCAATATTCATTACACGAGGCTTACTGATGTTGCTTGGTGAGAGTTTCATTTTAAATCATTTTTGTTTTTTTAGTTGTGTCGAGCTGCCTCTGTCGTGTTCAACTCTTTCAACTTTTGTAACTTTTTTATTGAAATAATTATCGTGATTGGATGAAGAGATCAAAGATTTTAGAGAAGGAAAGAGACGATTAAAATTATTTAAAGAATAAATTCAGTAGCGAAGCGGTAAACCGAGTTAAGTCGATTTTGTCTATTGACCAGTTTTTGACGAATATCTCGGAATCTAAAAGAGATAGAAAAATTTTTGTTAAGATATTTTTTGTAGAGCCACTTGAGGTTTATAAAAAAGTTCCTGCGAAAAATTTTGCTATCTCTTTTAGATTCCGAGATATTCATCAAAATTTGGCCAAAAGTCAAAATCGACAACCCGGTTTACCGCTTCGCTACTGAATTCAATAAAGGAAAGAATGAATGTGAATAAAATTACTAAAAATGTTAAAATGTTCTTCAGGTCTTCGGATGGACGATTACTAGTGGTATCATCGACAGACGGTTACTGCTCGATAATCCACTTCCAGGAGGGCGAACTTGGAAAAATCTATACAGGAGACAAAACAATTCCAATGAGGCCTCCAGTCCCCCTTCAAAAATCCACAGATATAAAACTAACTTCAAAAGGCCCTTCCAAGGGAGAACCCGAGAAGATCCTCGCAGAGTTCGACACTGACGCCATGGACATTGATATCACAGAGAAAATATCCAGCTCACAGAAGCCTGAAGAGACTGTAATTAAGGATAATGAGGCCCCTCCTGTGAGTGAGGAGACTGAGGACATAAAATTGGTTTTTGAACCTAATACGTGTGACGTTCCTCCAGCTGAGGAATCTGGAAAGGTCACTCCACCCAAAGCTGAAGCTGGGGAAAGTGCCACTAAGAACACTCCCCCTAAAGCTGATGTCATCTCTGTACTGTCATCGCGGACCCCCAGACGAGTTAAATTGATCACATTATCGAGTCCTAAACGCCCTAAAGAAGATCTGTAAATATTTTTACTCGTTTTTTCATTAAAGTGTAGGTAATACCGCTGAATATTTGAGAGAAAATATTGTTGACTTGAAAAAACTCATGATTTTAGGGAATTCTTCTGGAATTTCAGAAATAATATATTTTCTTCAACTTTATATTCTCCTATATTATTATTAAATGTCGCAGACTTGATTATTACTGAAGGAAAAATCTATTTTTCATAGTGAACTTTTTTAAATCCTAGAAATACTGTGAAATTTTATGAATTCAATGAATTTTTCTCATGAAAATATGAGGACCCATCATGCAACGCCATCACGATAATATTTTATCCATCGTCACTTAATCCACGCAATATTTAGAGGTGATAAAAAACATCGAGAGCATTTTTCATAAATTTATTTTAATGTATAAAACACGGGGATACAAGTGATGTATGTGGAGTAGAAAAAAATATCAGCACCTAGTTCTCCTTCGAAAAGAACTTCTTCTTGTCCACTGGGTTTGGAATAATCTGGAATAACGATTTTTTGTATTTTTTACGAGACAAGATGTTGACAGATGTTGAGAGAGAATAAAGTTAAGTTTTTTGTACTCACTGTGTCTTGACCGGGCTTCCATCCAGCGGGGCAGACCTCTCCGTGCTCGTCGGTGTACTGGAAGGCTTGGACAAGTCTCAGGGTCTCGTCCACCGAGCGACCCACTGGGAGGTCGTTCATCGTTATCTGGCGGAGGTTTCCCTTGCCATCGATTATGAATAGAGCTCTAGAGAAATATCGATCCCATTCATAATTACTCTTTCATTAGTTAATTAATTTAATGATAAATTGATTCAACATTTTCTTAAATATTCTTAATTATCTCGGTAATGAGTGATTTTAGACGAAAATGTGAAAAGACATTTTTTGTGGGAAATTCAATTTGCTATAAAAAAGTTCTTTTGGCATTTTGCTCTAAAAGGACTTGTTAGAGAGATAATTGCATAGTTGTAAGAATGGCTTTTCAAGTAGAGTCAATTTTTTTATGAATCGTTCTGTTCGCTGTAGATAACTCTACAGTTTTTTAGGACACATAAATTAAGAGGTTATCTAGGGGACGAATCTCATCTAAAATAAACATTTCGACATTTTTCTCCAAAACAACTCGTTGTAAAAACATAAAAATCGAATTGTTGCAATTTTATATTATTGCATTGCTGGAATATTTTTGCAGTTAGTACCTGGAGGATGATATTACCTCAAAGTATGACCTAGATCCTCCAGATAAACCCCATAGTCCTTCGAGATTTTGTGCGTCAAATCAGAAAGCAGGGGAATCTTAATTTTATCGAGTCCTCCCTCTTTCCTTGGCGTGTTCATCCAGGCTAAATGGGTGAATTGAGAGTCCACAGAGGCTGCAATCACCTCTGTATTCAGTTTCGTAAACTCGTCAATTCTATCCGAGAACGCTTGAATCTCCGTTGGGCACACGAATGTGCTAGAGGAAAGAATAAAATGAAAAACATCAAGAAACTGAATTCATCAACGAAATATCGAAATGAACTCTTAATGATTGTCTCAAAATCTGGGAGAGATAAAGACGAAACGAAATGTTATTTCTCTTTAATCCGACAACATTGACAATTTTTAATCAACTCACAAGTCCAAAGGGTAGAAAAAAAACACAAGATATTTTCCCTTGTAATCACTGAGTTTGATCTCCTTGAATTCCCCATTTATGACTGCTGTACCTTCCCAATATGGAGCTGGCTTGCCAACTGTAAATAAATTATCTCCATGGAAAATATATAACAAATTTACAGCTGAAATTTTCGTTAAGCTTTTTGGAAATTTTTATTAAGTGACAGTTCCGCTGAAATTTCACGGAATTTTGGCATTAAAAATTCACAGATTCGTGTGACAGTTTCAGTTTATTTATCATGGAAATTAGTGAAAATCACAACAATTCAGGTAAATACATCCTTGAATTTATAATTAATAAAAAAAATCAAAAAGTTAAAAAAACCTCATTTTTCTGCTGCTCAAAAACTTCATGATCCCCCCTAAACATAAATTAATTAATTAAAGTTCATGAGAAATCAAAATATAAATATTTCTATAAATTGAAAAAATTCTTCATTTATTCCTGACTTTGGAACATTGAAAAAAAAATGTCCACTTTACCCTCCCCCCATAATTAGTACCCCTTGAAATTCCTCCGAAACCTCCAATTAAAAAATGTAAAATACTCACTGACTGCCTTGGTGGTATGCAACTGATGTCCAGCATGTTTATTACCGGCTGGATACACCGATCCCCCGGCATACGAGTAGCAGGCCTCATTCTCGACGAAATGACTGGCAGAAGACCCAGTTTTATCGTTAATCAGCAGGCAAATAAGCCCCAGAAACAGTGACTTTATGTGACACATCGTTCAATATTCAATGCCCCAGTTATCTACGAACGAAATAAGCGGACGTGTCTCCTGTTTTTCGATTATTTACTCACGCACATCACCCACACGACTAGCGTTTCCCTGATTGTGTGCGTGCCTCGTGTCGGCTGAGAGAGACAACAGTCGCAGTTGAACGATCGTTCTTTGAGAATCAAGTCTAACCGAAGCTCCAAATTTTTCGAAAATCCATTTTTTGATAAATCCAAGCCACGAAATATTAATTAACCTGTGCAGTTTCCTTTGGCCACTGGATATTCATTTTTTAAAGTGTTTGTTTTTTTTTTTCAAGTGGAAAGTTCGTCTGTTTATTCTTGTGCTCCGGAGCAGTGTGTTTTGACAGAAGGATTGTAGAACGGTATTTGTGATAATGAAACATTTTTTTACGGTTAATCCACCCCCCCCCCCTCGGGCATCAGTGACATCCACTGAACAGGTTCATCGCGAGTGTTGAAGAGATTGAGTGCTTTGGAGTCGTCGTAGACAGCTGGTCTCCATGACTGATTCAGTGAATTAATTGTTGTGAAAATGGCATCTCAGGGGGAACTGGAGGGTAAACAATCTCATGTGCTGTTGCCGGTGCTTCTGAGTGCATTTGCACTTCCTATTTCTATGCTGTTTTGGATTGTCAATGTGGTTTACTCGATTATCACACCCGAGGCTGATTATCATTTGAGTGAACGTGAGTAGATTTTTTTTCGAGTTTAGTTTTCAAGTGTTTGGGGAGATTGTTTAAAATTTAGGGCGTCGATCATCTGCATGGATTTGTAAAAATAACACTAATGTTGATCAAAATCCATGATAATATTTCCTGGATTTTTTTCCTCTGGGTTTTGAAGCTGTTTTTTCAAGCTTCAAAATTAAAAAGAAAGTATTTTATTTCATTTTGTACCTCTTGAGTTGTTGATCACAAATTTCCAAGCGTGAAGAATGAGATAATTTAATTAATTGTGTGGCTTATCACATCGAAAATCTGCCTACTATTTTTTTTATCAATTTATTATCGATGGCCAGGCAGCTATAAATGTGTGTTCAATTTTTCTTTTGTAATTTTGAACCTCACCGGAGTAGAATTTTTTTCAAGTAGACATTTAGAAATTTATTTCCTCGATCATCTCGAGCGACGACTCAGGGGATTTGTAAAAATAACAGCGACGTTAATTAAAATCGATATCTTTAGATTATCAATAATATCTCCTGATGTAATGACTCCTGATGAATTGATCCCAGGCTTGACTCTAGGTTTATGGAAATTTCTCTGGGTTTTGAAGCTGCTTTTTCAAGCTTCAAAATGAAAAAGAAAGTATTGGATTTCACTTTGCACTTTTTGAGTTGTTGAGGACAAATTTCCAAACATCAAGAAGTCGATTATTTAATTAATTATGTGGCTTATTACCTCGAAAACTGCCTGCTATTTTTTTTATTGATTATTATTAATAGCAAGACAGGTTCACCTGAGTGAACCGGAGTTGATTTTTTTTTAAGTAGAAATTTATTTTCTCGATCGACTCGAAGATGATAAATTAATGCGACGACTCAGTGAATTTCTAGAAATAACGACGTTGATTAAAATCATTCTGTTTAAATGAATATCTCCTGATCGAATGACCACTGGTGGATCAGGGCCAGGCTTAACTCCACATTTATAAAAAAATTTAAGTTCAAGCTTCAAAACGAAATTAAAAATATTATATTTCCCTCTGCGTTCGATTCGTCTCCCATTCCCCGTGGACATCTCCCGAGATACAAATTTTTGTCATGAAAAATTGATGACGACATCACACAAGCCCTTACAACCGGAGCGAAGACGAGTAAAATTATTGTTTCGAGTAAAAACAGTTAACCGTTAATTGGTGTCATCAGCGTGTGATTTTCCAGCGGAAGTAAGATCTAACAAAAAATATTTCTTATTTCACGAGGACGACTTGTCTGCAAGTGCCACTACCGAATTAATTTCCGTATTTTTAAACAGATTATCCGGTAATATCCCCTTGGCGATGGCTTCTCGCCGTTGTTTTTCCGCAAGACAAGTTCACCTGAGTGAACCGGAGTTGATTTTTTTTTAAGTAGAAATTTATTTCCTCGATCGACTCGAAGATGATAAATTAATGCGACGACTCAGTGAATTTCTAGAAATAACGACGTTGATTAAAATCATTCTGTTTAAATGAATATCTCCTGATCGAATGACCACTGGTGGATCAGGGCCAGGCTTAACTCCACATTTATAAAAAAATTTAAGTTCAAGCTTCAAAACGAAATTAAAAATATTATATTTCCCTCTGCGTTCGATTCGTCTCCCATTCCCCGTGGACATCTCCCGAGATACAAATTTTTGTCATGAAAAATTGATGACGACATCACACAAGCCCTTACAACCGGAGCGAACGCGAGTAAAATTATTGTTTCGAGTAAAAACAGTTAACCGTTAATTGGTGTCATCAGCGTGTGATTTTCCAGCGGAAGTAAGATCTAACAAAAAATATTTCTTATTTCACGAGGACGACTTGTCTGCAAGTGCCACTACCGAATTAATTTCCGTATTTTTAAACAGATTATCCGGTAATATCCCCTTGGCGATGGCTTCTCGCCGTTGTTTTTCCGCTTTCGTTCGCTCTTTGGGGGCTGAAGAGACGAAGCGTCGATCTGAGTGGAGCACTATTGGGTATTTATAAAATTTCATTGAACGTCTCTTCATGGGGACAAATGAGAGCGAAAAATCTTCTGTTCTTCATTTTTCAAAACTCCACCAGGACTTCTCATGGGTTTTATCCTGACTCTCACCAACTACGCCCACGTGGCGTGCCTCGTGAGTTTCTTCGTGTCATCGTCCCTGGCCACGAAATTCCGAGCTAAGAAGAAACAGAAAGTCGAGGGTGATTTCAAGGAAGGGGGCCAGCGAAATTGGATTCAGGTGCTGTGCAACGGGGGCATGGCCTCCCAGCTCGCCCTGTTGTACCTGCTTGACGTTGGGTGTGGCGAGAGGCCCATCGACTTCGACAAGGATTACAGGAGCTCCTGGCTGTCCACAGGAATCCTAGGTGAATAATTCTCAGTCGCTCATTCATTCACTTCATTTTATTTTTCCATTCCTCATTTTTTATTCATCAATTTATTTGAATAATTCCATCATCGAAAATGGCTTCAGGAGCTTTTGCCTGCTGCAATGGAGACACCTGGGCCTCGGAGCTGGGGACAGCTATTGGAAAATCTGATCCTTTCTTGATAACTTCGAGAAAGAGAGTTCCTAGAGGTAATTTAGAAGAAAATAACGAGTTTATTTGGAGATGAGTCATGGAGAGATTGGAAAAATGTTTTTATATCGATTTAGAGGCTTCTGATGCTCAAATGTTGCTCTGAATTAATTTATTGAACGATTGGAATGAATTAATTTCAGTTTAATTTATTTCATCCCTTCAAAAATTTCGATTTTTCGCATTCTTTTCAATGGAAAACCGAATGAAAACCCTTGAAATATTCAAACAAATTCAATGCAATTTAATTTACCTCTCGTCGAGAATTTCAATTTGTAAATATTCTTCAATATTTGTAGTTAAACATCAGTTTTCAATGTTTTCACCAATGTGTGCAATTTGCGAGGGAATTCAACCAATTTATATTTATTTCCAGGAACAAATGGAGCTGTGTCGTGGGCAGGTCTCCTCATGTCACTCCTGGGTGGTTTATTGGTAGGACTATTCCACTATTTAACTGTTCTGTACACAGTAGATGTTGCAGTGCTGGAGCATGCAGCCCCCCAGTGGCCCATAATAATACTGGGGGGGGCTGGGGGATTCTTTGGAAGTCTCTTCGACTCCCTCCTAGGTGCCACTCTCCAATACTCAGGTAACCCAGGCTAATTATTCAGTATTCCCCCAGTTATTTATGTCATACATTAGTTATTAGTGGGGTAGATATCGTTATTAGGCATCTCCAATTCGTGTTTCTCATCCATTTTTCCATTTAGGGATCAATGAAGAGGGAAAAATAGTGGAGCATCCTGGGAGAGGCGTCAAGCACATCTGTGGAAGACAAATTCTCGATAACCACAGTGTTAATCTTCTCTCCAGCATTGCAATTGCATTAACATTTCCAAGACTCGCTAATTGCCTGTGGCCGTAACTAAAGTACAGACTCGAATACTCGTAATGTGTTGTGCGTGAATATTTATCATGGACTTTTGTGCTTCAAGCTCTTGTTTGTTCAATCGTATTGAGATACCCATTTTTTTTTTCATGGTTTCTTTTATATTGCATCAATGAAAGATTGGTGATTGTTAATGAATAAATATATTTTTGTAAGACGTTGATATGAGAGAAGCCTTAATTTATTAGAGAACAAAAATGTTTAGCGAGAATTTCACTTGAAATTTGAAGGAAAAATATTTGAAATGTTGAATAAAAAATTTTGAGTACAATTTCTGGTACATTTCTTGAAAAATTTTATGGAAAAATCAATGAAAGCTGTAAATTTCAGTTGATTTGATTTTCCAATTGATTCAAAATTCAGGGAAATTAAATTTTCTATGAAATTTTTATTTTGTTCTCTAACATTGTGCCTTTGAATCCCAAAATTTTTAACATAAAATTAAAATTTGTAGACATTGTTCACAGACAAATATTAATTTTATTCAGTTCTACAATTTTCCATACACGTCGAATAAATTTTCTCCATAAATTCTTCAATTAGTCTAATAATCAACAATCAGGAAATTTTATACATCCTTAATCTAGTGATAAATTACTTTCCATCTCGTATGTTAATACGTATTTAAAATAATTTTTCTCTCTTGTAAGTACACATTGCATCTGAAAAATATAAACTAGGCATTTTAAATTATCGGACGATCAATTCACACTCACAATTCAATCGTTATATTAGATCACGTATAAAAATCATTCCAGAAAACTTATCTGTTGAAATGGATACAGCGCAGCTTCGTGCGCTGCGGGAATTCAACGGGAATCCAATTATTATACAATATCACCAGTGATACCAATGCATAAATTTACAATGAAATGCATAACAAACGAGACGATAAATTAAATAGTCTAAGCGCCTTTTTGGAATTGAGCAAACAATCACATTAAAGAAACATTGAATACGAGATGAAAAATATTATTCTGGCGCACCTCCATATTCAACTCAATCACGAAGAATCCAATTAGTCGCGAATGCCTGTTGTTAATTCGTTGTTACCGCTGGTAAATTAACGCAATTGTCGGAAGTAATTGAGAGTATGTGGGAAATGCTTTCGATGTAATCTCATTTTACAGAATTTACAGTGCAAAAGATAACGGGGTAGAAAATTAACTGTTGAGTTACACGTTTTTTCCATTGATTGACAGTTCAATGGTAGACTGGTGAAACGGGATCTGTTGTTGAGGAATATCTCAGGAGTTTTTACATTTTTTGGGCAAACTCATTAAAATTCAGAAATATTATTCAGAATTCGTTGGAATATTTGAAGACAGGTTCACTCTTTCTTCTATTCGACGAAATTTATATGGATTTTTGAGAATTCTTTTTAAATCCATAAATTTTAAAACCCTTCGTAATGGAAATTCATGAGATCCTAGAATTTTCCGAAATATTATTTCGAATTCATTACAAAATTTTGGATTTTTAGAAATTCTTCTAAAATTCTGAAATTTCTCCAAGAAAAACAATTCACATTCAAATTTCTGTCATGAAAATCGATCGATTGACTCCACTGGTGAAACGGGATCTGTTGTTGAGGAATATCTCAAGAATTTTTACATTTTTGGACAGACTTATTAAAATTCAGAAATATTGTTCAGAATTCGTTGGAATATTTAGAGACAGGTTCACCTTTTCTTCTGTTCGACAAAATTTCTGTGAATTTTTAAGAATTCTTCTAAAATTCTGAAATTTCTAAAAAAAATTACATTCAAATTTCTGCCATGAAAATTGATCCATTGATTCCACATTCTTGTGAATGTTTCATTTATTCTAAAAATTTTTAGGAATTTTTTTGAAATTCTGAAATTTCTTTCGGAAAAAAAAATCACAATTTTCAGCACATTCTTCGAGTTAGAAATATTTCCCCTGTTTCACCCTTCCACCTCAAACCCTCGTGGTCCACGAAGACGAGCCCCATCAACACTGAGTCTGATACTATTTGATGATGAGTAGAGGTTCACCGTTGTCGCCGCGCGTCCCCTCGTTATTAGCGATCATGTCACGTTTCTCGTTCTCCTGTTCCTTTTCGGGTGTAGGAATATCGTTTTGATAGTCACACCTTCTCCTCTCCCGCCATCGGACCTGCGGTCGAGCGTACAAACTGAAACAGTCAACATCCCACAATGGACTTGACTCGGACTCCGCCATTGGCACGATACGGACCTCGTAAAATATAAATTAGTGCATTTGGGGAGCATACTGAAGTTATCCAAGCATTTTCTTGATAATCCCGATGAACACATTTGAATGTAAATCGAAGTGCCGCATGATTGGGTCAGATGAATTAGTTACCATTGTGCGTAGTCCATATCGCACCATTGACCGATCAACGTAGATATCGATTTCAAATATATTGAGTGCCAGGGGAGCAAGCGAAATTTTTATTATTCATGATTTCCGAAATTCATACAATTTCATGGTGTGCAACGTGAAATTCTCACTGCTGTTATTGTCAATTCATACGTGGAAGGGAATATTGTGATTCTGGGGTGAGGAATGACGCAGTTACTCGACACTAAGCATAATGCGAAAGCTTTGGATTTCCTACCGAGACTGTGGTAGCTGTGCATGAGTTGGCGCGTTTTCTCATGAATGCCGAACCCTCCCATTTGCGTTTAAACTGCGCGATCACCTGGAACAGATCCAATCCAATTATCATAAATCGTAATTGATTGAAGTCAGCGTGACGGGGAGGGGGGNACTTGACTCGGACTCCGCCATTGGCACGATACGGACCTCGTAAAATATAAATTAGTGCATTTGGGGAGCATACTGAAGTTATCCAAGCATTTTCTTGATAATCCCGATGAACACATTTGAATGTAAATCGAAGTGCCGCATGATTGGGTCAGATGAATTAGTTACCATTGTGCGTAGTCCATATCGCACCATTGACCGATCAACGTAGATATCGATTTCAAATATATTGAGTGCCAGGGGAGCAAGCGAAATTTTTATTATTCATGATTTCCGAAATTCATACAATTTCATGGTGTGCAACGTGAAATTCTCACTGCTGTTATTGTCAATTCATACGTGGAAGGGAATATTGTGATTCTGGGGTGAGGAATGACGCAGTTACTCGACACTAAGCATAATGCGAAAGCTTTGGATTTCCTACCGAGACTGTGGTAGCTGTGCATGAGTTGGCGCGTTTTCTCATGAATGCCGAACCCTCCCATTTGCGTTTAAACTGCGCGATCACCTGGAACAGATCCAATCCAATTATCATAAATCGTAATTGATTGAAGTCAGCGCGACGGGGAGGGGGGCAGATAAATTGAAATTCTTGGAAAGTATGGGTGAGGAGGTATCAGGGAGATAGAACCTGCGATAAAATCAGGATGGGGCTGATGAGTTTACGATATTAATTTAAATCTGAAACCTGACTTTAAGTCGGGGCTTGAATTCAGGTTTGCTCGGAAATTATTGCCTGCGTACACATTCAGAACTGCGCCTGAACGTGTGTTCAGACGTAAATTTAAATATGAACCTGAATTTAAGCCCAACCTGATTTTAGGCCATGACTTAAAAAAATTATGTAATGGCCTAAAATCAGGTTGTGATTAAATTGAGGTTCGCGACTCTCGGCAAATTCGAATTTCTCTCCTCTCATAATAAAAAATCCATAAATGTCATCATATCATTTAAAACACCCCTTCATTGCGTATTTCAATCTAGATATATTTAATTACCTCGCCATTACAGAAGCAGAATAGAACGGCAACACAGAGGCCCTGAAAATAAACAAATAAATATTGATTCATTCACCGTATGAGCATTCCAAAATAACACTTCACAGCTGAGTGACTCTTCAGTGAATCTCCCGATTTAATATTTTCAACAGTATAAGAGGATTATTTTATACGTGGCACAAAATAATCCCCCGATTTTCGTCGCAATTGAGTACGATCAAATCGCGTAAAAATATTATTCCTGTCTATCCAACAGTGACAGTTACTCCGCGAAGTTTGACATCGTAAGTAGCGGGGAAAGTCGCAGCCCCCCCGCCCCCGTCCTGAAGTGTAACTTCACCCCGAGGCCCTCGTTCAGCTCATTTGTAACGCTTGAACAATTTGGAAAAGCATATTTCCCCAAGAGTGCCGTGAGACAGAAATTATATTTGAGAATTGCAACTACGGCAGTTGAAAACTTGCTCGTTCCACTTGGATCTTGACGATGGTTTCTTTCTCTTTTGACTGATAATTCAATTAATTTTTCTTCGCACGACGAGTGTGTCAACTGACCTGAAATGAGGCAGTTATGGCTGATATTATCTCGTACGACTGTTCCCATGGATGATCTTTCGGGGGCCGGAGGGGTGTTAGTAAGTAGTGGAGCCCCAGGAGTGGTACTAGTAAGAGGGTAGCTCTGAAAAAAGAATTCATATTTTTTGGAGCAATTTTATCGGTTTTCACCCTCATTTATGCCTCAACCTGAATTTAGATCGTTACCTGAATTCAGGGAGTGATCTAAATTAATTTCATTCATTGCCTAAAATACGCGCCTGATCCTGAATTTAATCCACGGCCTGCATTCAGGTAACGTACTAAATTCAGGTTTGATCCCAATTTTAAAAATTCCCATAATGCTATGCGTCGTCTAAAGTACATGACTGGACCTTATTTTAAGCCATGGCCTGAACTTATGCAAGAATTTTATAGGTTTTGATCTTCACCGATGGCTGAACCTGAATTTAGGCCGTCGCCTGAATTCAGGTAATTACATAAACGCCTATTTAAGGCAAATTTTAAGCATTGGTATGAACCTGAATTTACGCCATGACCTGAATTTATGCCTGAACTTAAATTCCTGCCGCGGCCTAAATTCCTCACTTCAACTTCCGTATTTTCTTTAATTTTCAGGTAACCCCCCAATTTCTGCTTAAAGCTGAAAGTTTAAAAATGCTTACGACATTGCAAACTAAAATACGAAGTCTTCTTCCATCTAAAGCTAAACTTCCGAGAGGATTAAACTTTCAAATCAGATTGGTCTCAGTTTCTTCATAATTTAATTCATATTTGCCAGCGTTATCTCTGTACACAAAGCTTTGTTTTGTCCTCCAACAGAATCAGCCAAAAGTTTTTTTTTCCCTTCACTTTTATCATCCCCATTGTCCTCGCTGTCTCGAGACCTCGAACTTTTCAAAATTACGTTAATACTGAAAAACTTTTGCGGTGAGTTTACCGGAAAGCCTGAAGCATCGAGCGAGACGGTCGACTTCCAATAGCCGGGCCAGCTCGGAGTTTAGTCAGAAGAACCCGCACAATGTTGAAAAGGAAGAGAAGATTGAGCAGGGTTGACACGCAAACAGGATAAACCAGGACTTTGATGTAGTTGCCCTCGTCTATCCAGCACCTGTTGACAGAGGAAATCAGGCTGAATTCAGGGTAAACAGATGCCTAATGAGAGAGAAAAGTCACAGTTGACGCTGATTTTACGTTGCAAAATACTGCTCCGAGGGAAAAAAAAGAATGAACCAACGCATTTTTTCGTCTGCACATAAATTACTGTATCTACTGCACTCACGCCGAGCAAATTGCTTTACCCATCGTTGATAGACAAGTTCACCGATCAATGATTCGTCGAGATACAAGCCAATACACTTGCTGCAGGGATCGAAATTGTGGTTTGGTTCATTGAATCAGCAATTATCGGCTCATGAAACTCTAACCACTAGACAAAACATCAAACTTTGCGCTATTATTTTTGGAAGAGATGTTCTCGGAGAAGTCTGAAGGGAAAAAAGTTGTGGAAGGGGAAGTTTTATCGGAGGAACTCAAGGTTTTTGTCAAGTCAAGGAACTTGATTTTTTTTTCTCATGTACATGTGAACCTTGAGAAGTTCTATTCCCCTTTATCATCTGCTTCCAGTTCACCACGGAATTATCAAAATCAATAATCTCAAAGTTAAAAATATTTATCGGTGACGTTTCTACGTGACTGCTCGATGTTTGTCTGGCTTCCCCCAAGTTTCCTCAACAAGTTGATGTCGACGAAGTGAATGCAATTTCAATTCAGCCCGGTGCGATTACTTCGACTCAAGATTTTGCCACAACAAAAAAAAATCCTTCGCATTTCAATGGCCGAGTGATACACAAGTACAAGATTGACACGACACGATAACTCAGCGTCTCCATTGAAACTGCCTGGCAGTTTCTGCCTTTCACATGGAATTTCAAACTGCTATGCAACTTATGTGCAAGCACATACTTCCAACTATGTGCAGCAATACATAACTCCTGGTTTATGTACATTTTCACCCTGACTGAGGGTGGGCTCGACTCCTCAGGGATTGGCTTATTGGCATGCTTTTATCCCTCTAGCCATTCAAACTATGAAACACTGTGTTTGCAAGTCACGCATAGCACGTGATCCACGCGATGTTAGGTTTTAAGTCTTCGCTTTGGATGTTTTAATCGCTCGGAAATATTTTACTGCCTCGGGGTGAGTGTTGAAGCCACTTTGTGATTAAGAATATCTGAGTGGACGAGTCCCTGGGAAAAATTAATTATCAGTAAAGTCCAACAATATTTTTTCTCGAATTAAATAATAACTCATTCTTCATTCATTTACGAATTCGTTTGACTTAAAACTTCAATTGAAGATTTTATATTAATTGGCGCAATGTAATTCACTGAAATTTCCCAATTGCGAACTCGTTAGATCAAATTTAATTATCCACCTCCAACTCCCCGTTATCTCCAAACAACACCTGCACTCTTGAAGACACACGAAAAATTGCATGTGAGAATTCGGGTGAAGCTTCTCCCCAATTTATTCAACTTCCACTCAATCTACTTTCAGTAATGAAATCCCCCGAAGACTCGCGCATTTTCTTTTACCTTTGCTGCCTCGAGGAGCAAGAAATCTTGTCGTGAAGGGAATTGAATTGAATTCATTGTTCACTGTACCTCGTGCACTCCACTATCTATTTCACGGGGAAGACCAGGGGTTTTGATTAACCTTGTGATTGGGGGAGGAATTAAGTAACGGGGTGATGCACAAGGATAATCGATGAATTCTTCCAGATTAATTCGTTTGCTTAGGAAACTTGTGGAGATGAAAGAGGAATTTGCGTTTCTTAATGGTGAAAGGGTGATTTATTTACACCTGAATTCAGGTTTAGGCATTAATTTCTCGTGGAAATGAATTTTTGTATGATAGTAAATTTAGGTTTGGACCTGAATTTAAGCGGTAGGCCTGAGTTTAATCCACAAACCTGAATTTAACCTGATGACAAATATAATCCTCAATCCTAAATTTAACCTGTAAGTCTGTTTTAAGTCCCGAGCCTGAATTTAAGCCCCAAAGCTGATTTTTTAAATTTAAATTCTTCCCTCAAAATGGATAAATTCCCAAAGTTGAATGCGAAAATTGTGCTGAAATAATTTTTCATTAAAACTCACTGTGAATTGTCCTTCGGGTCATCACTAGTTGCCCTCAAAGTCGCATATACCACAACGACAATAGCTGGCGCTGGCCATCCCGTACACATCAGCCACTTGACCAAATTATGCTCGCTCGTAAATGCACTCACGAGCAGTGTATGAAGATAAAAACCCTCGCACAACATCCAGGCGTAATTTGTAAGGAGAAAATAGTGGAGTATCACGTGCAGCAAACGACAGAGTATCTACCACCACAGATTAATCGTCCGGCATTTAGTTTTTCCTCAACTCTTCATTTTTAATTCTTATTTTCATTTGATAGATAACACTCACTCCATTCTCCATGAGTAGTTCAGCATTTGCGGCTATCAATCCGTACCATATCAGCCAGAGGGTGTTGTTCACAGCGAATGAGGCGAATAAATTCATGTGAAGAGTTATTCTCGCACACCTCAGGGATCTGTGGCAAAAAAAAATTGCGCAATATTTCGTTGGGTAATTGGAAATTGAGTCTCGGTGGAGATTTATTCCATGAATTTTTTGAAATTATTCTGGCTGGATATTCAATGGTGACCTTTACCTGAAATACGTAAGGATCCCTAGGGAGAGAACCAGTGCTATCAGCGATATGGTGTAGCCCGTTTTGTAGATGATATTGATCCTCTGCTGCCACTGGAAGATGATAATAGGAGTGTACAATATAAATCTCCTCAATTTGCTACGTCGTTAATACACCATCATTCGATGAAAATGCAAATTCGAGGCTCGAGCACGCTGGCTAGGGCGAGATTAGATGACACCCCTATGTGTGTTGCGGCATTATTTAATAATTCATGAGACATGAGAGCAAGATGCGTCAATGTGTAATTCCCGGGCGTAGCAGCAGTCTCCGCGAATTTGAATGCATTATCGCATCAATCCATCCGTGGAAAGCTGAGTTTCTAACACGATGATCGTGTGATATTTGGAATTATGGGAGGATGTGCAGTGGAGTCAGGGGCTTCATATTGTAAGGGGAGTTATGCACGGTCTGGGGAGGATGAAACACCTGTCGTGGATTTTGCGTTGTGGATTTTGCGTTGAGGATTGAATTTTATCTGGGGGTTTATCGTTATTTTCCGATGTTGGAAGCGATCAAGAGAGCGGAAAATTTCAGTTTGATTCGGGATTTTTTTCTTCGTTCAAAGAAATATTTTTCAAATGAAAAGAGGAGATTCTGGACTGTAGAACATTTTTTTTGCAGAAGTCCTCAAGAAAATATTGAAATTTAGTTTCACATTTACGGCATTTAATTTATGAATTTAATCCCGGGCCTGAATTTATGCCTCAACCTGAATTTAAGCCGAGATATTCATTTATGCCTGAATCTGAATTCAAATGCGAAAATTAATTAATTCCGCAGTCTTAATTCAGGTCGAGAGCAATTCAAGTTTTAACCTGAATTCAAGTCCTGACTTAAATCTATGCCTGAACCTGAATTCAAATGCTGAGTTAAAATTATAGCAAACGATTGATGTTTGTAAACGGATGTATTTCCCCCTAGATTTGTTGGACTCGGAATTTATGTGAAAAAATTTGCAACTTATTTCCCAAGAGTAGTAGAACTGAACGATTTTCTCCTTCAATATTCTAAATCCGAAGATGTATCGTGACAGTGGGGAGGTAACCAGTCTATATGTAACCCTATACATCAAGTACAGAAGGTGTTACAACCCACAGGGAAGAGTAATGGCCCCCAATGGTAGACCATTGTCCGCCTCGCGTACAATGTATTGTAATGAAAATCGGATGTACGGGATACGCCAGGGCTGATGGATATTTTTGTGAAGTTGGAAAGCAGATTTCCGCATCTCGTTAATCCGCTTGAATTCTCATTGAGTGTTTATTTTACCTTATCAATTGTACTAATCGTAATTGTGGGAGTATCCACCTGGGGATCTTTTTACTTTAAGCGTTTAATTTCCGCATACGCTATCGTGATTATCCGCGGGATCCTTTACTATTGAATATTGCGTGATGGGGGTTTATTACTTGAGATGTTGAAGGCTTGTACGTGTTATGAGTGCCTACGTGAATGAACTACGATGATCATATCGTCTCTATCTTCATTTGCTCGTTTCGGATGATATTGGCGTCAGCTGAAAATACACTTCGTGGTCGGAATATTTCCAGCCATGTGCTACATATCTCAGAAATGGGGGAGGGGTTTATGGGTTCTTCAATCAGCTCTCTTTATGATCTTTCATCGACAGTTTATTTTTGCGAATGTGGGGAATTAGAACATAAATTATCGTAGCGTGTCGTGCGAGTTTATTTTCTCAATTATGAAGTGTTTTATTTAAATATTCAATTATCAATTGTTATATTTAAATATTCAAATATTTTAATTTCGTGGGAATATTTGATGGAGTGGAACAGATTTATTTGGGGGGAATTGAGCAATTCGATGGAAAGAAATTTAATATCTTTCATAAAAATTTAATTTTTGTCGTGAGCTTCAGAAATATCTCTAGAAAAATTCCAACTGTTGGCAGGAAATCAGAAGTCTTTATTGAATGAAGATATTCATTACTCAGCAACATTCACAGCAAAAACGAATGTCTGAATTTCACACAACTTTTGTAGACATTTTTCAGACATTAAAACGTCTGAATAAAATGGAAATTTGTCTGAATTTCAAACATGAATTAAGGTGTTTGGGCACCTGTTCGTCTAAAATTCAGACACATTTTCATTTTATTCAGACGTTACTTAGTTCGGTTTTTTTTTCTCTCAGTGCATTTAACGTTGAAGTCGAGTCAAGTTAGCTCAGCAGATATTAATTTATTGTACATCAACTCACGATCTGGAACTTCAAAGTTTTAATCGTAAAGTGTTATCGGCGAAAAAAATTCTCTCAGTTGTTCTGATATTGAGGTCAGGTCATATTAAACTGATGTCAGCCTTTAATTTACATCAAATGACCTGAGGTACCGAAGGTCGATATCACTGTGCCCACCTCCACCCCACAAACCTGTGTAGCTCACCGTCTGACTGGCAGCCAGGGATACCGTTTTGTGTCTCGATAAGCATTATTCACCATGTAATTCAAATATCTGCATAATAATACCCGAGAGAAATATGACGACTAGCGTTCCTGTTACAGGGTTGTAGTGTTATTGGTTGTCAGTTTCAGGTGTCATGCAAGTATCAACGGTGAAATTTTTATTTTCAACAATTTTTACTTCTCAGCAAAACGGGAGAGCCACTTGAAACTGACCGAAAGAAAAATTGATCTATTTTTTATTCCGTCACTCAGTTATTCTCGTAATAAATTCATGTAAAATTTCAAGTAAAAAACTTGAAGGGGAAAAAAAGTGAAATGTGCATGAAATTTCTAGATATTTTGTTATTGGAACAGGATTTTTTTTCAAGATTCAATACAATTCTCGTGTTCACATCCATTTGACGATAATTGAGAGAAAAAATTCGTTGTTATGCAGCTGTTTACGAAAAGATTTTCATTTTTAATTTATTAAATTTTTAATTGAGGAGGATTTCTGAAGATAAATGAAAATATTTGGAATATTTTCGTTCGAGTTGTCTTTGGCGGTGTTTTTTGGTGATTTCCACGTTCATTGGAATTAATTTCCATCATGGAATTGGAGAAATGAATAGATCATACTAATTCATTATCAATTCGCGACATTTCGCTCAACATTCAGGATAAAATTTTTCCTCGAAACTTACATTGAAGTCGTCTATGTCGACGCAGGTTGTGTAGTTGCTCCATATTTGATTGGAGTCGGGATGTCGAAACCAGGTGCCATTGGGCTCGCATATTTTGTGGGCATACACTGCAAAAGAATAAAGAAATCAATATATTATAACTTGAACGTTCCATGCGCCTCGACAGCTTAATTTTGAGAATCGAATGTCGAGGAATTGCGAGGGTTCGCTGTGTGGCCTTCGTAATGAGTAATTGGAGTCCATTTTGAGGGCAACTGTAACCCAAATGACCGGTAATAAATCCCGTAATCGACTGTGATTAGAGTTACGGTCATGAAATTATGATTATGAGGATCGTGTGGGAGCTGATAGGGTAATGACTGGTACTTGCCGTTTTGGAATGCTCAATAATAATTTGGGGGATTGGTGGGCACCGTGGGGTGCCTGGAGTTGTTATTACTAGCGGCAATACACAACTCCATCCACTGATGATTAGCCGGGGCAATACTAAATTATTTCAATGACTAAATGTACGAGGGAATATCGAGCCAAAATGTTCACATTAACACGAAAATTGAAATTAAATTTCCAAATATTTTCATTTCATTTTAACGGGTGAAAATTTATAATTTATATTTTTTTATTTTTCATCCACTCTTCACATCTCGTTTTTTATCAGAACTAATAATTGTTTCGACATTTTTACTAAAATCACTTGAATTCAATTAAAAATTCCAGATATTTTAATTTTATTTCGATAGATGAAAATGAATAATTTCTGATTTTTCATTTTTCTTTAGTCTTCAAAATAAAAACGAAAGATTTTTATTCACTTCAGAACATTTTTCATCCACTCCTCACATCTCGTTTTTTTATAATAAAAATAATGGAATGAAGCAATTGAATAGGTTCTCAACAGTTCAGTCCATTTATCTCATTTTCATCTTCACTTCCATCTTCAGGGACCATAAATCGCGGAAACACTGAAAATGTCAATTAATTAATTATCCCAATCGAGGATAAAGACAAAAGAATGAGCGGAATCAATGAAGGGAACTGTATCTATCGAAGAGATTGATGACGCGATGAATCATCCCGGCCGGAGGGTCACGTCCAAAATGACTGATTCCTCCACTTCCAGTTCCAGAAATTTGGAAATTGAGGATTCCTATGCACCTCTCCCGTCTTTTTCCTCAAATAATTCTCTAAATTTAGAGAATTTCAGTCACAAAATTCATCAATTAAACTGCAAACTGCAAACAATTCCGCATATTTCGTCAAAATTATCGCAAAATACGGCGCCGACGAAAGCTCTGATGTTCAACATCAATTGTTTGAGGAAATTCCAGCGAAAAAAAAACGCATAGTATTTAGAACATCACTAATAGACTTTAATCCTAAACATCGTACTTGTTTATCACCCGTAAACTCCAGCGAGAGCGTTTACAACCGAGCGTTGTGAATTTATTCGGAGAATTATTACTCACTTTAATTAAATTACACAATGTAAATTAGCCTGTGTAAAGTTTAATGGCCGGGATACCTTTGAACTTGGAGCTTTAAACCTTTTCCGTGGGAATAATTCCGAGGTATCAAGTGGTTAAAAATGAATTCGTTTGACGAAGTCGAGTGGCGTCGGGTGAAATGGCTTTCGTCGACGATTTCCCTTTATTCGGAGAGGAGTATATGTCGACTTTGAGCGGCTTAGGGGTGCCCCGAGGGGGGAAAACGACCCTGAATGTCCAACGAACTGATTATCATCAAGTATTCAGTCGAGTGTTTCGTCAGATGTTCGGAACTGAGGGGTAATAAACATTTCAGAGGCAATTTGTTCTGCTCAACACAGGTGAAAATTTATTGAAGGTTGATCGATCGACGGAGGTGTCTTGATGGATGAGGACATTTTAGGGATGAATAAGTAATTGAATTTGTGGGTTGGTTGGGAGTAATCGTCGAATTATATTGAATTTTGAGTGAATGGGAAATTTATCGGGCTTTGAAGTTCAAAATTAATTAATCAAGTAATTTCAAAATAATTAGTGATCATTAAATGCTCGTAAAATTTGCACCCAAAACCTCAAGTGTATTTTCATACTCTGCACTGTTAACAAAAAATTTTAGAATTCTAGAATTTAGACTAATTAGTTGCGGATTTTGCTACAAAAAAATCAGTTAATTTTTAATTAATTTTGTTGAATTAGTTAATTTTTAACTAATGCAACAATTGAAATTTTGAAATCCATATGCTAATAAAAACGTCATCAAATATGAATTTTGAATGTAAAAAATTGTTTCGCATAAAAAGTGACTCAAAATTCCCGAAATTGAAAATTCAGATGCAGTAACGCCTGAAAATTCATAGAAATTCCACCAGTCTGGCGCAAGGTCACTTCCATCAAGTCACATTGTTCCAGTGGTTGAAAAAAAACCACCCCGCATGCCCCTGTTGCCGCAAAAAAAGGCATTCCTGTGGAGACGAAGGTTTTGGCTTACACCATTGTCTGATACATCCCAAGGGGATTGTTCTGTCCCCGGCGCATGATTCCACTTTTCCACTATCCGTTGTGCCATACTGCCGACAGACACAATTGTCAGCGTAAAAAACGAGTGACGAGATGAAACCCTCGGCGAGTGGAGGATGAGAATGCGAGGCGACGGTGCGCACGGCAAAGAACAAGATCAGATAGCACGAAAACTGTACCTCGTGGAATACGCGGGAGTCTTTTCTGCTGCTGTTTGTTCGTTTCAATGGTTCTTACATAAAGTTTCGGGGTTTACAGACTCCCCTGTTGGTGATTGTTGCGGCGGGAGGGGTATCACGGTCTAGTCGAAGGAGTTTCCTCGATAATGCCGCTGCTAAATAGGAAGAAGGGGATGTCTTGGTACGAAGATGAATAAAAGTTTTATGGTATTTAGAGTGATGTTAATTTCAGATAAAAAGGAGAGGCTTTAAGACGGCTGGGGTAATGAGGAGATAGGGGGTGTTTCCGGACATTTTTATGCCTTTTTCATGATTTTTCTGAGATTTCTTATGTTTAAGGTCAACATTTGTAGATTAACATCAAATCTTTCTCTTTGAAATGATTTTTTAATTTAACTTTCAAGGAAGCAATTTAATTTCCATTGAAGAAATTGAAAACATTTTAATGGACATTCTTAAATTATGAGTATCTCCTGATTAGATAATGCGATTGGGATTAGTCAGGTCTCATTTTTTAATTTAATTTTGATAGCAGTCCAGTCAAGGGTGAAAGTCGATTTTCGCCAAAATTGAATTTTTTTGCCAAGTGAAAGTTGATTCTGTATTTTCTAACAATTCTGATGCCAATGAAACCCCCGAAGGCGCGACAAAAGTCGAAATAAAATTTTTTTTTTCACCCTGAGCCAAAGAGTCAGATTTTCTGTTTTTCCAGAGGGAAAGTCGACTTCCGCCAAAATCGAATTTTTTAGTCGGGCGAGTGTTGATTCCAACTATTTAAGCGACGGGCTATTCAGAACTCTCAAAAGTTCGTGGGAAAAGTGAAAACTAAAAAAAATTGTTTTTCACCCGGAGCCAAAGGGTTAGATCTTGCGTTTTTCCCGGAGGAAGATCGACTTTCGCCAAAATCGAATTTTTTAGCCGGGTGAACGTTGATTCCAACTATTTAAGCGACGGGCTATTCAGAACTATCAAAAGTATGTGGAAAAAGTGAAAAATGAAAAAAAAATTTTTTCACCGGAGGCCAAAGTGTCGGATCTTGGATTTTTCCGGGGGGAAAGTCGGTCCAAGGGTCACAAGGGTCAAAGTGTCAGATCTTGGATTTTTCGCCAAAATCGAATTTTTTAGCCGGGTGAACGTTGATTCCAACTATTTAAGCGCCGGGCTAGTCAGAACTGTCAAAAGTATGTGGAAAAAGTGAAAACTGAGAAACCGTTTTTTTTGGCCCCAGCCAAAGGGTCAGATTTTCGGGTTTTCCGGGGCAAGTGGATTTTCGCCAAAATCGAATTTTTTAGCCGGGTGAACGTTGATTCCAACTATTTAAGCGCCGGGCTAGTCAGAACTGTCAAAAGTATGTGGAAAAAGTGAAAACTGAGAAACCGTTTTTTTTGGCCCCAGCCAAAGGGTCAGATTTTCGGGTTTTCCGGGGCAAGTGGATTTTCGCCAAAATCGAATTTTTTAGCCGGGTGAACGTTGATTCCAACTATTTACGCGACGGGCTATTCAGAACTATCAAAAGTATGTGGAAAAAGTGAAAACTGAGAAACCGTTTTTTTTGGCCCCAGCCAAAGGGTCAGATTTTCGGGTTTTCCGGGGCAAGTGGATTTTCGCCAAAATCGAATTTTTTAGCCGGGTGAACGTTGATTCCAACTATTTAAGCGACGGGCTAATCAGAACTATCAAAAGTATGTGGAAAAAGTGAAAACTAAAAAAGTTTTTTTTTTCAAATTTTCAAAGGGTCAGATTTTCCGGTTTTCCCGGGGGAAAGTCGACTTTCGCCAAAATCAAATTTTTTAGCCAGGTGAACGTTGATTCTAACTATTTAAGCGACGGGCTATCCAGAACTCTCAAAACTGTCGTGACGTATTGGAAATAATAAAATTATTTATTCTGTTTTATTTTTCAGATTTTATTGTATGAAATAAATAATATTTTTTATTCGGACAGAGGAATTTTTTTTTAATACTAAAAAAATTATCCGTTTAATTTGAAGAAAAACGCAACTAAAATCGAGGTTGGGTTTCAATAAACTCTTCATCATGAGGAAAACAGATGAACTCATGTTTTTATTTCAATGAAAATGTTCTATTCGGGTGGAAAAAAACAAGTTCATTTAATTTAAATTAACAATTCCGCTGAGTGCAGAGTGATGTTATTCAGAGGAGAAAAAAGGGCGAAATAAAAAAATTTGTTTTTAATACTTCCCGTCATGCTGTTTTCAATTGCCATTTCCATGCGACCGCAAAAACCGTTGGAAAATCAACACTCCGGGGTGTGTTTCCCCCGCATGTCTTTTGGATGTGATAAAACTGAGGGATCAGTCCGGAGAGTTTGGATATTCAGCCGCGGGTCGAGAAAAATTTTTGTTTGCAGGGTAAACACATTAGGTGCACAGGTATTCATACGACCCGGCTCCCACAGGAGTCCACC